CTGTTCAAAAAGTTTAAAGAAAATCTATTGGTCAGATCTTGAGAAAATCGAAAATATATTCTAAGTTTTTCACTAAAACACTCGATTTTCGACCAATCCATATTATGGTACAGTTTTGTCGTGTTTGAAGTCATATATCTAGTTTGGCACATAGAAATTCGCCCAAACTTGCACGATTATATATATTATTCGTCTTATAGCTCTGGAAATATCTGGAAAGTTTAAAAAAATTCTATCAGTTAGATCTCGAGATAATCGACTTTCGTCAAATATTGTACCATGGTACAGTTTGGTACGGAAAGTCCAACTCCCGAAATTTGGCAACTATCAACATCATGGCACAATTAAGTCGCATGCTCAGTAAATTGCTAATCAAATGTACTGCACTTATACAGTCTACAGTGTATGAATTCATGAACGAATTTATTAAGGCAGATTGGTATAACAACTATCGTAAATGCTATTTTGTATTAACAGCGGAAAGTGTTCTTAAGGGAGTCATGCCGGGAGTTATAAAACACGTCATTAAAAACACTTTCCAACTACAAAACTTAACCACAAAACCAGCTTTGAGCACTATTTCTAGGTTCTGAAACGACTAAATGATGCGAATTATAAATCCTCAGAGCTGATCCCACTCTACATTAAAAACACTTTCCAACTACAAAACTTAACCACAAATCCGACTCTGAGCATGACGTGTCATTCTTTTTGTTTTAAATTTTTAATCTTAATTTTAATTTTCAGTACGTTTTACCTAACAATATCATTTTTTAGCTAGCAGAATGGTTTTCAGAGGGCATTAATGAAATGTACTATGTATGAGCTGGTCCCAAGTCCAGACGCCATTTTATTCTATTATGTAATTTTCAATAACCCTGTCTAGTCATTGACTACTGATTATACATGGAAACATATGTGGTCATAAGCTATCTATATTATACATTGCACATCATGTATGAATTGTAATTAAAGCAAGTTGTGATTACATTACATTAGCTGATATTGGTCATCTTTCTTAGCTCTTATGAGTGGGTCGATCATATAGTTTGATAGTTTTTGTTATTAGTTCAAACAAATCTATTACCTTTATTGAGCTATGTAAGTTATTGTAACGTCCTGTCTACGACAAAGGCGTGTTGCCGAAACGTCGACAGCTAATATGTTTTGAAACACAGAGTGGAGGATCCAACTTAGTCACCAACTATTAAAGTTTAAACTATAAATAAATTAGCTGATAATAGGAATTTTTCGTAAATATAGAGTGGATGTTACCATGGAAACATGATCATTTTACCATGGAAACATGTAGTCATTAGCCATCTATATTATACAACATAGATTGTAATTAAAGCAAGTCATTGAATGTTTTATCTGGCAACAGTTATAGTGTGCACTGTGTAGGAATGTGCATTTTTTGTACTTATTTACGGTGAATCTTAACGTGGGCTAATTTTATTTGGTGATTTCAATTATTCCATAGCCAAACTGTTGTCTATGAAAACCTTCCCCATGGGGAAGGTTTTCATAGTCAACTAAAACAAATAGTAATTAAATTAAATTAGCTGATAGTAGAAACTTTTTGTTAATAAAGAGTGAACAGTGACCACATATAAATTTGAGAGAGAATTGAGAGAGAAATTCGTTCAGCGGACACATACATTATACTGTCCAGAGATATTATGGGAGGTTCAAGCTTATTAAAAGATTCTTTGAACTTTTGAAAAGTAGCAAAATTTGAGATAAATTGATAACCTAGGACCGGGAGTTGGTTTACACATTATATAAGTAATACGACATGTTTTATTTAGCAGAATTATACAATATGCATATGTAATCGTCTTTAATTGGGGATGATGGGGCGAAGACGTGATTTATATATATGATAAAGTGCCAGGTGGTGACAATAATTGAGGGCGTGTGGATGAAGAATCAGTCTTGATGCAGCTAGGAGGGTGAAGGAGGTAAAAATATGTACAGTACAATATCATAGAAACTAAGAACGAAAATCCTCTTACATCAGTAAAAACCGATATGCTTGCCTTCAATTAAAAACCTTGCTTTAAAAATGATATTATTATTCAAGTTAAAAGCCTTCGAAGTTTTGTAATAATCTATCGCATGATATTGTATATCTGACATCAATCAAATTGCAACTCTTAAGTTAACTTGTTGTTTAATTATATTATTGAATCACAGCTGAACACATGTATAAGTACGCGTACCTAATATTCGGCGGTTATTGATCAACTTTTCCCATATTTTACATAATGCTGCTGAACCTGATAATTAAAATATTCGCTGTAAATATCTATAATATAATATTCACACTATAAGATTCTAGAAGGCAAAGTTCAAATGAACCAAACATCATATTAATATATTGACCAACAAATATATGGATTCCTACAGAATATTTCGAATTGCAGTCGGAACTGCAGACGTACTGTATTATGTTAGTTTACTAAATTAACTGGTCGAAACACTTCTATAGAAATAAAATCAAGTTATACAATAAATTTATACTCTATAAACTACACAATATAATTATATTATAAATATAACAATAATGTCAGTTTCGGCTGCTCACTGCTCAGGTCACAATCCGATAACCTATCATTTTTGCAGCCTAGATTTAGGAATTATGATGTCAGAAATTAAGGATTCAAATAAGAAGCTTAGTGATTCTAAAGTGAGCAGCATTTTAGACCGTAAACGTTTACAATAGCTGGTTCAGCCGGCTTAAGGAACAACAATAGATGCTCTTCGTATATAAAAGAAACACCATTAAAACGAATGTAAAATTTGCAACTCTAGGATCACACAATTAGCGCAAACGTGGATACTGGATATAATAAGTTCGTAATGTTATAACATATAACATCTGATTGATCATTGACTAATGGACACGATATCAAAAATATGTTTAAATAGGACTCAAACCATCAGGCTTAACCTAAACTAGTTTAATGATAATTAGTTTTGCTTTATATTAAAATCTCAGCACATGTAATTTTGTAATGATCTTTCTAATTTCTAATTCTAATTTCTAATTCTAATTTCTAATTCTAATTTCTAATTCTAATTCTAATTCTAATTCTATAAGGTATAACACAAGTGGCACTGATGCAGATGAATCATGGATAATTATTGACTGTTGACGAAAACTCGAAGTTTGAAATCCAAAGTATAAAGCTGCATGTAGTAGAAACGTAATTGGGAAATCAGGATTAAATATGATCACACGTAACGCGCGGATATAACATGTGCTTTATCCAATGCGAAACTAAAAGAGATGAACATAAAAAATCGACTGTAGAGTGATTTAGCGCGACCGCAAAATTCCTTATAATATATAAACAGTTTTTATTTTTTAAACGATTATTGGCGGGTCGAAAAGTAACATAAAAAATAAACTCTTCGATATTCAGTATTTGTTAATTATTACCTAAAGACCTCGGTAGTAAGCCTTTAGTTGTCAATAATTATAAACACATTCAACATTAAAAATAGAGTTATGGCGGAACAAAAGGCTAAACACCGCTCAGCAGTGAGAAAGTTACAATACTTTTAAATTTTTAAATAGTATTTTCAATGGGACACAAAACAATCAACATTTTACTCAAATTTTAGTATAATTTGAACCTGAAAAGTGTTTCGAATATTTTATTCATTAGCTGTTATCTTTAATTTATTAAACGATATGAATTAATTCATAACTTGATGCGCGGTTTTGGGTAATGTTGTGCAGCGCGCGGCCGAAATTGTGACAAACAGAAGGAAATAACTCGTCATCAAAATGTATCGCGCGAGAATGTTTTAGTAGACGCGCATGTGACGTCACAAGTGAAGAGCTCGCAGTGGGACGGCCCTATATGGCCCCTACACGGCCACTATACGGCCTTTATACGGCCTCTATACGGCCTTTATAAGACCACTATACGGCCTCTATACGGCTTTTATACGGCCACTATACGGCCACTATACGGCCACTATACGGCCTCTACACAGCCTTTATACGGCCACTATACGGCCACTTAAAAGATATATTTCATGGTCTTTATACGGCCTCTAAACGGCCACACAAAACATCTAATCTATGGCCTTAATTTATTTTTGTTGAACCTCGCGACTTCAACGAAGTCCTGAGGGACAGTTTTCAAGAATTTATGATCAATGTTTTACTTTTAGCACACGTACTAATACTATTGCTTTATATTAAGAATTGTTAATAGGGATTTTTCAAAAAGTAACTCTCATCATCCTATGACAATTGAGTGTCGCACAGCATTTGTTTTATAGTAGCACTAGCAGGAGTAGGAATCTCAAATTATTTTCTAATATAATAATATGTGTATTCCGTGTAAAATTATCTTTATCCCGGTTGTTGCGACAAGTAAAAATGCTCTTATTAGGAAAAGGAGTTTTAATACTTTCAACACTACTATATAACAAATAATTTGAGATCATGAATACGATGTAGTTACATTAAAACGTCGAGTAAACTCCTTTCCCTAATAAGAGCATTTTTATTTGTCGCAACAAACGGGATAAAGATAATTTTACACGGAATACATTACAACAATGCGACTCATAAATAATACTCCAATCCGGATTTTACTTGTAGCGCGATGCGTTACTGTGCCGCGCCGCGCACTCAATGAGGCTACTGTGCCGCGCCGAGCTGCTATGAATTGACATCGTCAATTAAGATTTTACATAATAATATGTAGTACTAGTATATATTACGTAGTAGTATTGAAGACGAATAAAACTCACGTGTATCAAATTAAAGATATCAAACATAAAAATTTGAAATTGCCACCATCGAGCGCGCGCAGAGCTGCCGGCGCCGCTAACAGTACCAATATTATAATTATAGACTTCTGAAATCGAACTCATATCATAAAATAATATTTCGTTATTAATCATGATCTCGTGGTTGGTAAGAGTTTAACATATTTCGTAGCAGTCTAGTGGTTCATATTCATAAAAATAACGCTTATGTAATTACTGTGAATGGTCTCTTGCTGGATACATTTCATCACGATGCAGATATTTGCTGTTATCAATATTCGTATAAATCAAATTAATGACAAGAATAATCATGAACCTGAAACCGATAATCTTCGTTAGCTTAAAATTAAACTAAAATTACAAAGTTACATTAAAAATTAATAATTCAAATTCGTGCACAATCGTAAGCTTAAATATGGCCAACCTTCAGGTGGCAACAATGGACTTGAATTTTTATCGCGTAATCAGTGAAAGATAAAAAACATTGTATTAACAGTTAATAGATAATAGATATATCAAATAGAGATCAATAAACGAATCTTACCACGCCGTAAAAACGTGAATCATATCATATTTAATTTAATTTCTTCATGCTGTTTTGATAATTATGTCTCGTGCTCGATTCATCTGATTACAAAATCTGTAAAGTTCACAATCGTTTTATTTATTTAACTCACAAATTATGATTTAATAGATTCGGCTTCCATGATATCAGTGAGGAAGCTATTTTTATCGACACGTGAAGACGTAAATTTCGCTTTTATTTTTTATTGGTCGATGCTGCAAGCTGATTGTTAATCGCAGCTGGCCTATAAACGAGTATAATATAGCACCACCTGTTAATTACCTTCACTAACTCTAACAGATGATAAATAATTTAAGCCTATTTAAGCTATCTATTTAAGCAATATATTCAAGCATCTGTTAAGGAAATAATCCATATAAGGGAAATGTGGGCATGGAATTGGAAAAGCACATAATTTATCTAAACGTTATATCAAAACCTGTGACGTCACATCAAAATTTATGACGTCACACCAAAACCTCTGACGTCACACCTCATACTCTGAATCACTGCTCAATGATTTCAAAATAAACTCTCTTCCTTCGAGATCGTCCCTAGATTTCTTATAATTGTTCCTCTTAATTTTGTCGAGGGAACGTTCCGCTACTCTTTTTAGCAACGCCAGCTTATCCCTTAGCTTTGCCTCAGCACTGAAATTTAAGTGAAATATAAGTGAAATGTAAGTGAAATATAAGTGAAATATAAGTGATTTATTTTAAAGTTTACGATTTAAGAAATGTAAAAAAGATTCGGTTTGATGGCCAACAAGCGGGCAATCACATAAAGTGAGGTAACATGGGTATAAACCCTTCGCCTGCACAAAGATAGCATTATATTCATGTTTTCTAATATAAGAGTTACTATAAGGGTACCACAAAATAATAACATTAAATCATTATTTTCTAACAGCATAGAAACGTTTGACAAAAATGCCCATGCCCCTTCAATTATTTTAGTATGGCAGCTAATCAAAACTTACAACTTGTCTCACTAGTTAGATTCATCAATCTGACGTATTAGGAGTCAGATGATCTTTATCATGTCAGATTGAATTACGCAAATTTAAATCGCCTCATTTATTATAGGTGCACATAGGGCCCGATGTAATTGCTACGACCAGTGTACTGGTCAACTGCGTACCGCGACAATTGACCCCCCCCCCCCCCGACAATTGACCCCCTATGTAATTACACTGGGGTGAATTGTCGCGAAATCTAGGACTTAGTACGACAATTGACACTGGGGTGAATTGTCGCGAAATGTAGGACTTAGTACGACAATTGAACCCACACGAACATTGTCAGCTGATGTCTGGTAGGTCACGTGTGTATTTGTCGAGAGTGTAGTATCCTTTAGTCTTGTTGTTCAGGTCAGTCAGTGGCCGCCCCAAACTTAGGAGTCTCCTAAAATGGTGGGGGTCCTAGTCAGTAAGTCAGTAGTCAGTGCATAATCTGCATATGCATAGTGCATACCTTATCGGACGTTATTTGAACGGACATTAATTGGACGCTGAAAGCCCTGCCCCTAGCGTTCATTTTAATGTCCGTTAAAAATTATGTCCTTTCACGCAATGTCCGGTCAAATAATGTCCGATAAGGTAGTAATATTATAAGTAACGGCGTGGAATTCAAATCAGTAACTATCATTATCATTCGGCACATCATACTCAAAAATGGTATACAAACATTTTGTTTTCGTGCTCAAAAACGACGCTCGAACCACTTTTAAATTTCGAAGAGCTTCGTGATATGATATTATACAAATGATGGTTGAGCCACAGTTTTCACTGGACCTCTCCGATAGGTCTTCATTTTGTTCAGGTTTGGATAACGTTAACTTAGGGGTCGTTCACACATTACATAATAACATTTTGACCAATTTTTAACACCACTTTAGAGAAACATGGGTGCCCCGGTTCCTGCTAGTTAATATAAACTATGTGTATAATAATAAATATAAACTGACCTCTGTACATCTGCAGGTTTTTTGTAGAGTTTAAGTAACAGAGATGAAATAACAACACAAAGAGATGAACACATCATTGCTGCGGCTGCCACAAATGGCTTAAACGTGAACCCTGTATTAATGAAACCGAGATTAGAGTTAGGACGCAGATTAACTAGAAATGCTAGAGGAAAGTTTATTAAAAAAGTTTATCAAAACGTGGGTTAACTCTTGCTAAAGACGACAACAAGCAATACGGTTTAACAGGATTTTTTTGAAAATAAAAAACAATCGTGACTGAAGAGATTGATGAAAACAGGGAGTAACAGATCCAAATTGGAGATTTGCCAAGTTGGAGTCTTGCCAAATTGGATATTTGCCAACATACCCCAGGGTTTAAGGACTCCAGCAGCTATTGGGATACCCAGGACATTGTAAAGTAACGCCCACACGAAGTTGATCCTGATTCGTCTAACTGTGACACGTGACAGGTGAATAGCCACTGGTACGTCGAACAAACTGTCCTGAGAAACGTGGTCATATTATGTGGTATTATGTGTCATATTATGTGGTATTATACTTCATAATTATGTGGTATCATACTTCATCTACAATTATTGGAATAATTGTCAGATTAAGTAACAAATTAGGTAACAAAAACGTCACTATCGCCAGTGACATCACTATCGCCACGTGACGTCACTATAATTGGAGAAGATAACTAACCTTGATAAGAACGATATCAGCTGCTTCTATGGCAACATCAGTTCCCGTTCCGATAGCAATCCCCACATCAGCCTGAACCAATGCGGGTGAGTCGTTCACACCGTCCCCAACCATTGCAACTTTACACTGGTATTTCTCTTGTAGGGCTCGAATCTTTGATACCTAGGATTATTTCAGGCTCAAATAAGTGCATTTATAATTAATTTCTAGTTTAGCATAATACAGGCTACAGCCCAAACGAGGAGGCTGTGACATCGCACAGGTTCATTTTCTTAGAAAAGGTAAATTTCTATCCGCTAACTAGTTTACCAAAAAATAAACGCGAATCGTCCTTATCATGCTTATATTATATGTACTGCAGCCTTACATAAGGTCAATATACAAAAATAACACGGAATTTTACGGACGATTACCGTGTAATTACAGTGTAATAACCGTGTAATTACCGTGTAATTACCGTGTAATTAGTGGAAAATACCTTTTGTTTGGAAAATACCTTTTGTTTGGAAAATACCTTTTGTTTGGGGAGTACTCCAGCGAATATTCTCTCTCTTGGGATGTTTGCTTCTTTAGCGATGGCAGCTGCCGTTCTGTAGTATTAAAAGTATTTTTGTGGTTGTTTTTAATGAGCATACTTGATTGAGAGTAACTGATACAAATTAATAATAGACAAACTCCGACACCCACTCCGTACACATTCTGCACTATACCTCTCTTTATACTTCTTCCAGTCCTGACTCAACATCCCTATTATACACAATCCCCACCTCAATAAGTACCAATTAATTTGCCACCCTCGGTAAACCCACATCAACAGATTAATTGGGGCCAATGTTTACCAATATGATATCTTTACTACATAATTATAATTATAAAACATAAATAGATCAACTAAACGAAGTTGAGAAATGTATCATTTGGACAGGTTACCCAGGTTACCTGATATTGTCCCCTGTTAGTAGGAACACTTTGATACCCCACGATCTGAGCAGGTCTACTGCGCTTGCTGCATCCTTCTTAATAGGGTCACTGATTGTTATGATGCTGCTTAGTTTACCTGTGAATACAATTCATTATTAACAGAGGACAAATGTAACGTGATCAACAATATCAATATGTCATATTATTTAAGGCTTAAGCACTGGATCTTTACTTCTTTAGACGGCAGTGAGGAGATAAGAGAATATGGGGGAAATATGAATCATCATAATATTATATAGAATGATACCATTTTGTGCCCTAACTTACCATCTACAACCATGATAACGGCAGTATGACCCCTCTCCTCGTAGTCTCGCATCATAGTCTCTGTCTCGGAGTCTAGAGATATCCCACTCTCACCGATCAGCGTTCTGTTCCCTATCGCTACATCGTACTTTTCAGCTACGTGTACTCCTACAGTTCAACGATTTATTGATCTGAATTAGTTTTGTGCGTGGTCGCACACGCTCTTGAAGTGCGTAATCCATAAAAGGAACTAATTAAGATAAGGATGTGCGCGTTACGCGCGTTAATTGCAATCGAGTGGACAGCCGGCCGGTTAATTTTCGATATTGAAATGTCTCCGCGCGCAACGCTAACCCAGAGTGGACAGCCGGCCGGTTAATTTTCGATATTGAAATGTCTCCGCGCGCAACGCTAAACACCAATTAGGGGTCTACCGCAGTAGATGTTTTCTTCTCAAAATGTGGGTATGTCGCTTTTCAAAACTATGGTTATGCGCACAAATTTGAACCTAAATATTGCAAAAAGGTAGGTGCGTGCGCGAGTTTGCATAGATAAATAATACTGTCAGGAGAAGACTACCCGGAGAAGGCCTTGTATTGTATGTATATTGACTATTGTTTATGGTTTCTGAAAAATAGATATAGGCTGGAATTATCACACATGATATTGATCGGAAATACCTTTAATAAACAGGTAACGAACAGTGCTTTATTGAGAGAAGTTTCACCAATACAATGATAGATCTCCACCGCTCAGGATATACTAGATACTGCCGTAGTGCATATGTATTACTATCAGGCTTGGGAACCATGCCACAAGGTGGAGATGATATGGTCCGGTAACGGTCGAAATCTCAAGGTACTGTAAACTGTTCCTGGCTACAGGCTCTCGCCTCTCATATTGCAATTAGTAATGAAAATTTAAGTGGTCAAACTGGTTTTGGTGAAGGATGTAGATTTAAGAATGTGAATGTTTTGAATTGACCCCATGTTTTAACTGGTTCCATGGTACACCGTAGTTACTAACTGAAAGTGATGAATCTAGGAATGAAGTTCCGAGCCAATTTCTCCATTAAAAGTTTGAAAAAGTGACCTCTTCAACTGTGGAACTGACTTATTAATCCTAGCAGGTAATTAACTCTGGATCCTCATTACATTGATTCCATTCTATATTCTAACCATAAACAAAAAAACATTAACAGATAACTCCGTTTACCATTTGACATGTTCCAGTGTGAACGAGGCCATCTCCGGACAAATCCTTGAAGGCTGAAGTCCGAACAGTATAATTTATCTGATAGTGTTTTACTAAGGTGCTCTGCTGATAATTGTAGTAAAGTAATCAATAAATGCCAAAAAAATGACCTCTGACGAGGCTCGAACCGGGATGGGCTCAATAACATGTGCCGCCTTAGCCGTCGTGCTACTAGAGGCTAAGCAGATTTACAATATGTAACGGTATAATCTATATAAAAATACGCGCACGCAAGTAACTTTTCGTTATTTACGGATCCGAATAAAAGCGACATACCCACAATTCTGAGAAATAAACCTCGCGCGACATAAAGCGACATAATCGCAATTTCGCCCACACATTTGCTAGAACACCTCCTCGTCTACCGCCAGAAGGACTCACGTCAAAACTGTACCATATCAAAAGGTCGAAAATTGAGTGTTTTAATAAATAACTTAGAATATATTTTCGATTTTATCCAGATCCTAATGCCATAAGACGGATAATCTGAGCAAGTCAGATCTCGAGATAATCGACTTTCGTCAAATATTGTACCATGGTACAGTTTGGTACAGAATGTCCACATCTCTACCGCACATGACCCTGTAGCGTACCCGAGAGTTCTACTTAATACGTATACACTATACAGTATAGAAAACTGTATCGTCCTATTAGACTTGGTCAAATAGGATGTAATTTACATTCTTACATTCCTTTATAAATCATTTACCCATTAATAATTAAACAATTAAATAAGGACGATGCATACAAAAGCTGATAGACACATGTAAAATAGCCTATCATACCATTCCAGATGGAGGTGGTGTCTGGGATAGAACTATTACCTGTAATAGCCAATAGGTATATCTCCAGAAATTGTTCCACCATGCATTTGGTGTTTATATATGCTATTTAAAGGACACTTTTTACCCTACGTAATATAATGATATAATGATATAATGCTTCATGATGTTGTTTCTTTCATTTATATTATTGCTGTATGTTATATTTATTTTATATCATACGTTTTGCGAAAGTTTCAAATCAAAATCAAATCATTAATTCATTGAAAAAACGACTTACAACATGTCACCTAAGTCCACTAATTTTGTAAAATCACATGCTTATTTCTTAACTAAATAAGATAACTAAGTTATTAACTAAATAAAACAAACTAAGTTATTAACCAGATGACAGGTCGAAGAAATGCCGGAGATTTGTCACGGTACATTTTATACCCTTTCCAGGAATCGCAATAAAATCGTCTACCGTTCCGAGCTGTTCCACGTCCAATAACTGAAACAGGAATGTGATGTTTTTATTTTTTACAAATAAATTTATAAATCATGAGCGATATCCTAGAGTTCAAGTTCTATATAATATTTTGTGCTGTATATCAGATATTTTGTTTATATAAAAGATCGAAGCAGTGACAAACTTAAGAAATTATAAGCTGAATATGATTCCCAACCTGTTTAGCATGGTTAGTGATAGCTTTTCCTAGGGGGTGCTCCGAAGCACTCTCAGCGGATCCAGCAATTGCTATGGCAACCAACTGTGTCACATCTTTGGATATCTGGTAATTTATTTGGTTGTTATTTTATTAATAATCAACACTAACCGGTGAATTTTCAAGAATTTACAGTCGGCACAGCATACAACCCATATAATACTATAATAATTAATGTTAAAGTTGCTACAGGTTTCAAGATTTTTAAATGAGTTATCGGACAGATAAACTTCCGAATAATAAGCAGAAATCTGAAATGTGCAATGTGCAATGTAAAATATACAATGTACAATGTACAATGTACAATGTAAAATGTACAATGTTAAATGTACAATGTACAATGTACAATGTACAATGTGCAATCGGTAATGTACAATGATCATCGCAAATTTATTCCAACTGCTATTAAACAGACGATTGTCTAAATAATTAATTAATTAATTAATTAACTAATTATTACCTGTATCATCCTGCTTACGATAGGTTTTCCCAGTGTAACAGTACCGGTTTTATCAAACACACAAATTTCTATCTGAAAATGGACAAATTAATTGCTTTTTAAGTTTTTATATACGTAATCATCTGCTAATAACTTGACCAGAAGAATCAAATATGGAAATCGAAACCTAAGAGTCATGAAATTTTCCCATGGCATGAGTAAATTTCACTTTTCGACAATATATCAAATGTCACATTGAAGATTGCAGAGCAAAGTGTTGCGATGTTCGTCATTATGCTTTAAGAGAGCAAATTTATGAAACGTGTAAATGCAGCGCTTTTGCTGATCGCTGCGTGCGTCAGTAAGTAATCGCAATCCAATCAATTAAGTAATTATCCAATTAACCTTGTGAGCTGTCTCCAGTGGATCGCCTCCCTTGATTAGTATCCCGTTTTGAGCCCCTACTCCTGTGCCAACCATTACAGCAGTCGGGGTCGCTAAACCTAGGGAGCAGGGGCACGCTATTACAAGGACACTGATAGCTGCTAATAGTGCCCACTCTTCGTGTGAGTAGTGCTGAGGGTAATAAGGTGATAATTATGTAATTATGTAATTATGTAGGTATTTAAATAATTGATCAGGTTTTATTTGACTCGCCAAATAAAAGACTGAAGATAGTGAAACGTCCGTCACATGTTGGAAAAGTATAATTAGTATTGCACGTTAAATGAGTACGACAATATTTCAGAACTAATCAATAATTATTCAATGGGGATCAATTAACACATTAGTTTACCTCGTCGACCATAATCCCGAGATGACCAATTATCTCCCAGACAACAAACGTTAGCAGTGATAATAAAATAACTACTGGAACAAAATACCCGCTTATACTATCTGCCAACTGCTGGATAGGGGCCTGGGACGGAGTTATTAAGTTATTAAGTTATTAAATCATTAAGTTATTAAGTTATTAAGTTATTAAGTTATTAAATTATTAAGTTATTAAGTTATTAAGTTATTAAGTTATTAAGTTATTAAGTTATTAAGTTATTAAGTTATTAAGTTATTAAGTTATTAAGTTATTAAGTTATTAAGTTATTAAGTTATTAAGTTATTAAGTTATTAAGTTATTAAGTTATTAAGTTATTAAATCATTAAGTTACCAAATCATTAAGTTACCAAATCATTAAGTAATTGAATCGTTAACATTTCGTTCTAGTGATGTAACGGCTGAATACTCTAACTAACACGTCAACTGTATTAAATAAATTTGTCTCAAGAACATGGATATAGGAAAGTGCATTTTCTCCTCGAAAATTGCCGCTAGAAAATAAGCTGCTTTACGTTTATTATAAATTTGTCGACTAATTTCATCGATCAGGTCAAAATTATCCTGGTGGCGACTAATGAAGACCTCACAAGGGAAAACACTTATCACTCGCACCTCACATATTATATTCAAATCAGTAATTTGACCGACAAACACATTCGTTCTTAAAGGTAAACTACTTTCTCTTTCATGTTATCTATCTTCTCCACATGTAGTTGTTAACAAACATCACAACAATATGTTCACATAGTTACTCCACTAGGACTACTTCTTCAGGAAACACACTGAATACAGTGTTTTATTGAGTAAACAATACTTTGTGTAGTACAGAACCTCGTGAAGTATGGTAACTCTGCATGAGCTATGCGAAATATGCATGGAATGCTGTATGAATTACAATGTACAGTATCGCACGTTGTACGACATAATATGCATGCCTGCATGTTGATCCAGGAAGATGTGGTTTTTACGTTCAGAGAAATTGACTTTTGTAATATCATTCATCTTGCGGGAAATTTATAAAAACCTACAGTAATTATACTGTTTTGACTTTTTGAGTGTTTATAATAATTAATACTCAAAACAGTATAAATTTCGGTAAAATTCATACTTCCTCAATTAGCAGCAGAATAGCTGATTGATCAAGTAATTATCCAATCAGCTGATCAGCTGATAAATCAATTACCTTAGAAGTTTGAGCTTCTTCCACAAGTTTGACAATCTGGGCCAAGGAAGCGTCTGCTCCTACATGGGTAGCTTTGACGAGAAGTAAACCTTGCGCATTGATAGTGCCACCCATGACTGTGCTGCCTGGAGATTTAATATGATAAAATAATAATATATTATGTTGACTCGTATATTCAATAGTCATAAGACTAATCCTAAATTTTAATTATAATTCTAGATACAGCCTGATTAATCTGCAAACAAAAGCTTATCGAAATACTTAAAATATCTGAGGAATATTCAAATATTCAAAACACCATAGATTGCGAGATTGTCTGAAGAAACTAACCTTTCTCCTTTTTAACAGGCATGCTCTCCCCTGTCAACATGGCTTCATTAACAGTACTTTTACCTGATACAACCTCACCGTCCACGGGGACCTTGGCTCCGGGTAGAATCTGAGGTATTTGAGGTGAAATGTTAAGAATCTGAGGTATTTGAGGTGAAACGTTAACAATCTGAGGTATTTGAGGTGAAATGTTAAGAATCTGAGGTATTTCAGGTGAAATGTTAAGAATCTGACAAACCTACCTTAACAATATCTCCCTTCTGCACGTACTCAATATCAATATTCTCCTCGTGAATCACGTCTAGAGTACCAGGTTCTAACGTTACTATCTTAGCACTGTGAGCCTGCATTGAGAGGAGGGTGGAGAGAGCTGCTGACGTCTGACCTACAGGTAATTAGCTGATTAGTAATTAGTTAATTAGTACATATTATATATGCGGTATCTAAAAGTGTATAGCGAGCATATTTAACAATTTTATAATCAATAATGTATTGCGAGGAGCTGTGACTTAGATATCGCATGACAATCATATAACTTAAAACTTTAATTTTACTGGAATATAAGGAAAACAAAATTAATGTCAGACCCGTCGCCACTCTCAGCAGTCAGCCAGCGCTAATAAAAGCTTAATAGCGCCTGGGTCCTTTCACCAGCTGTGGTAATGTGAGTGGCGGTGTGGTCAGACGTACCCACTTTAATAGCGTGTATTATTATTTAACACAAGCGCACTAGCTGCTAGCATACTTGTATCATTTACTTTGAAATCAAGTTTATTCGGATATATATTTATTGATTGATTGTGTACATTGTATTGGTGATAAATAATAAAATTGTCTTTTCTCAAAAAATTGTCTTTTCTCAAAAAATTGCCTTTTCTCCGTTTTCTCAACGTTTTACCACAGTAAGCTCAAAGCTTTCTAAACCTACTCGCTACATATAATGCCACGTTACAGGCACGTGACAGTAAGATTTGTCAACCTTCTTAATTCTTATCACATCATTAGGCTCCATCAGTAATATCATATTTCAGGATGAGGATTAAGGAGGAACCAGCCAAAACTGATGGTTTCGTCTTATTTTAATCATAACCTTACTCAGAAACTTGATAAAATAGGAAATTCCGCTAATAACCATGCATTTTTAATCAAAACGTGTAATCTAATCAACCTTGTGGGGATAGGACATTTTTAATACATCGGTGTGGTACAGTGGTACGATATAACAATATATATTTACTCAGATTTTAGAAACATGTGGCATTAGGCATAATATATCGCCACTGAACAAACATTTACAGTATAAAAACTGCAGCTGAGCATTTTTAATTGAGTCTCAGAACAGTTATTGATATATTCCTTTAGTAGTATATATTATATTATAAAGTTATAACACACTAACTGTTATATATAATATTATAATACATGTACACCAGGAAAACTGCCTTGTTCCACTTACACTCAGTGTGGAGATTCTGGCCATTTAATTCTACATTACAAGGTCGACAGCACCGAGGAATAGCCCAATAATCACGAAATGACAGTGTACACACGTAGAAATGGCTGGTATTGTTATTAATACTGCTGCAGTGACTGCGTAGTGCACTCTGTTATAACACCCCCAGTATTATAATGCAATATAATTTTGGGTCTGAATATTATATTAAATTCGACAAGAGAAACGCTATATTAGGACGTGAAGAGAGTGAGGACTACTCGGACTACATTAAATCAATTCCTTCTGTAACGTCCTCGATAAATGGAATAGCTTTGTAGAGCTGTATTTAGCATAATTATTATAATATTAATTAGTTGTATTTACAGAAATGTTCGAGCGAGTTCCCACATGGATTACCTACAATAATACCTAAGGCATTATGTCTATGACACATTAATTAATAGTATGGAAGGGTTGAAAAGTAATCCTTGTGTTTCAAATGAAGGTATTGTTTAACAATCTTAAAATTACATTCGCCTACTTGAATATGAAATAAAGATAATGTGTAAGACTTGGAATAATATATACGTTGAGAGTCAAACACTAGTATAACTACATTCGTAATAATCGAACCGTCTTACAGTTACACAGTAACAGTTACATGATATTTCGTTAAAATCTACTTCTTAATTTCTAGTGTTTTAAAAAGCGATACGACGTAAACTTGAGATTGTATCGCATGCACAACTACAGTAATATGTACGTAATATTATGTCATGTACGTGTTGAACTGTTGACGTATAATTATAGTTAGCACGATGAAAGCTCGCGTTTCTTCCTAAACAGTAGTTTCACTTGTCCTACCTAGTCTCTACTACCGGATATTATCCCTAAAATCATTATCTTATCATGAGACTGATAAACAGCAAACCTCTCCAAAATCTCATATAATGACAGTGTATAATTACAGTACATTATAATATAGTATAATAGTGTACAATTACAGTACATTATAATGTATTATAGTGTATAATTACAGTGCATTATAATGTATTATAATGTATTTAGCCGTAGTAAACTCCCACTGACGGATCACACTATTGTTGTTAATTAGCTCAGACATCTAGAGCTCCTTGTATAATCTGCCATGTACTACCGCTTAGGTCATGAGTGTGATTATATAATACAATTACACTTTACTATGTTGTGCGACGTGCGTCACATTTACCATATATGACATAATTTAAAGATATAGCCTCCCCCCCTCACCCTGTCCCAGATGTGATGTCCCAAACATTTTCCGAGTAGATTTGTAAAGAATTACAACAGTAGAGCCAAACTTTTATTTAAGATTTTTTTGTTTGTTTTATAGTTTTTTCTTTTGTTGAATTTGAATGCAAATTATGTTCTATAAAAATGCGCCAATCTAAGAGAAAAGATTAGAATTGTAATTAAGCCAAAATAGCAGTAAGTAAGTAAGTGTTTAATAACTAAATTTACAAAAATTAAACACCAATTTAAGAGCACTTTCACTTGATGCAGTCTACTGAAATACACATTCCAACATCTAACCCAGCATACCATTTGGTGTACTATAATACCGAGTGAGATATAGGTTCTTTCTACCTGATCACTACCAGCTGACCCACTAATTAAATTAATTAGCCCATTTCTAGTTCCACTAGTTAAATATCCATTGTATTACGCACCATGTGTTACCAACTGGCGTTATAACTCTTTTTACATCCGTGCTTAGCATTGATTATAATTTAAGTATTATTTTTAATTGTAGCTAAGGAGGTATCTCTTATCTACTAACTCGGACCACACTTGCACATTCTTGACATAGTTTTACCAAGTGATAGGAGTTATTATATCATATTATCATTATTATTATATTATATTAGGTTTAAATAGTATCTCAGTAGTGTTATTGTATTTAAATGGTGTTACTGTAAAAAGTGATAGAGTCACTACTGTGCAGCTATTATACACTACAGTAGAGATATAACAGTAGAGATGGTATTGTGTGAAAGGAGGCGAGCTAGTCACGCAAAACGTTACTTACACACTTTTATACTATAATAATTACGTCACCTTGTTAAATTTGTAGGTATAATGTAGATAACTAGGTTAAACTGGTTAAAACTGGTTAAACCCAGAATAAACTTATGTTTGTGGAATGAGTACGATCTTATATCTTAGACAATAACAAATCATGAAGCCATCAATTATTGGGTCGGTTCCTTGTTCTTACTTTGGATACTTTGGAGAGATTCGTAGATTCCTCTACTGGGTCATCGAATAGTTCGACAGCCCTTGCAGCATCGCTGCTGCCTTATTCATACTCCAGTCCAGCAAAGAATTTCCATTAGGACAGCTGTAATTGCTCACAGGTGGGTTATCTGGAAACGGTTTAAGAAATGCTGATAGTTTTGCTTTGAACAGCAGTGGGTCTTCATTCTTCAATGAGGTGAAGATCTGATGGAATGGTGTTCCATAAACGTGGCCCCATTACTGCAAATGAACCATCATACAATGACTGTTGTCGTTGAGTACTGCTCTTGCTGAGACTTGGAATGGTGGCCTTGATTCCGTGTCTTGATGGAGTAGAAAAAAGAATCCCAAGGTCATTTGGGCAGCGTTGATGTAAGATTTTCCACATGTGGATGATAATATAACTCTCTCTCCTCCTTTGCATCGACATTAGATTTAGTGCTTTGAGCCGCTGCCAATAGTCAAGATGTTGAACACCCCAAATCCTTGAGGTGAAAGTAAGCTGTACTCCTTCAATCTGTTGGATGTCTGAGATTTTACTGGTATTCCACAGAGGGCAGCAGTACTCTAAATGACTTCGGATAAGTGACTTGTAAAGTGTCAACATTGTTATTCTATTTCTGCACTTGAACGCACTGAGCACCCAGGATGCAACTTTTCTAGCTCGAGATGCCATAGAACTGACATGATGTGACCACGACATATCAGAAGACACTATAACTCCAAGATCCTTAACTTGGTCTGTAGGATAGAGCATATTACCGCCTGACCTTGTATGTTTGTGTTTGACATACAAAAGGCAGCTCATTACAGACTCTCATTAGGATTCCCCCGGTTAACTAAGACCTCAAACTTATCCTCATGTAAAACCATAATATTACGTTTGGCCCATGCAATGACATGGTCGAGATCTTGCTGAAGAACGATAACATCCTGTTCTGTACATATGTGCTTCAGTATACGGGTGTCATCAGCAAAGAATCTTATCATTGAACCAGTCACAAAAAGCTTCATGTCATTTATGAAGAGTATAAAAAGGAGGGGTCCAAGAACGGTTCCTTGGGGGACTCCACTGATAACCAAGGCCGCGAAGGAAGACACCCCGTTCAGAACAACATGTTGATGACGGTCCGACAGAAACGCTCCTTTATAACTTTATAATAACTTACTTTTAATTATCTAAATAACCGTTAAAAATGTGCAATTATGACGTAAACTGGTAGCATGTAGTGGTTAGAAATCTAGCACCCGCCACGGGCAATTTTAGAGTACATACCAAAATTCCAGCATGTTAGATCTACATTTAAAACTTTATAATTTACCTTTAGCGATGTTCTCGATCCAGCGTCCCAAACTGACAAATGTGTATAACATGAGAGAGGTCTCGAAGAATACCTGGAAATATTGGGGCTGGTTTAAGAATACCTGGAATTATTGGCTGGCTTAATGGCCGTGTTATTTGACAGCTGTGGTGTACAGTTCAACATTATGCTATACAGACTGCGACTGGTGTGACTTTGGATGTTCCCATTTTCGGGTTGTCCAAAAAACTTGTACACCCGTTTGTGTGGGTATAACTTTTCTGCGCAATCGATTAACCAACAAGCCGATTACCAAATTATCTCTTTAACTAACTATCTCATTAACTAATTATCTCATTGACTAATTATCTCATTGACTAATTATCTCATTGTCTAATTATCTCATTAACTGATTATCTCATTAACTAATTATGTGCACTAATCACCTCGACAGGACCAGTTCTGAGAGTAAGAACAGCATGTAGCAACACACCAACAGAGTACAGATAACTGATCAGTCCTCCAAGAGAGATGAGCACGTCCATGTTGGCTGATTTGTGGAGGATAGACTTCCACGCTGTGACGAAGAACTTACGTCCACCTATGTACTGGGATGGGTGGTTTATTTTAGTTAATTTTATATTTTAAATGGTTTATTTTAACAAAGTTTAATTTAATGCTAGATCAATAATTAATTAAATTAAATAATAACATATTAAACAACCCCTAACCTGTCCAGGAGTAGCGATGACAAACAACAGAAAAGGTCTCAACTTTAACCCCATAATCACATTACTCGTTTTGGGTACTGCGTACATGACTATCATGCTAGGAGCTGCCAGCATAAGACACAGCACAAATGTTAACCGCCACGAGTTTATAGTTTTACGGTGGGACAGCGCTTCCATTTTAGTATCCTAGTAATAATGAGTAATTAGTAATTAGTAATTAGTAATTAGTAATAGTAATTAGTAATAGTAATTATTAGTAATAGTAATTATTAGCAATAATGATTGATAATAAGGGGGTTGTTGGTTGATATGTGATTAAATTACTAATTACTGACCTTGCTAGGTATTTCAGCCTGGAATCCGGCATCCCGTATAGCACTGAGGATTGTCCGTACACCGATCACATTGTTGTCGTATTGTATCTTACCTGTAGAATTGAATCTATGAATTAAATAATAACTTAATAAATGATTAATAATCAATTCTTAATAACGAGCAACAAATAATTAATTACAGTTTAGCGAGTTTCGACATTCCTTTTTTGGTGATATTATGATGTAATCCAGTGTGTTCAGAACACTGTTGACCACGTGTTGACCACGTGTTGACGGTTGACCACGTGTTCTATACCGTTTGCGAACATTACAGTTTGTTGCTCGCTTTTCAATTGTTAATGGTCAAGGAAGCGATCAGCGGACAAAATGACATTATCGAGAGAATCGTTGATGTTTGTGTTGTCACGTACAGTCTTACATAAAGACATAATTTTACAACATTATAACAATAAGATTTTTATATATTGTGTGTATAAGCGACTTAAGTGACTCGATTCAATGAGTCGAGGGATTACGATCCAGCTTGACAAGTTATTCATTTGCCAAAACTTTGCATTTTATGTTTGTTAATTTATAGCTGTAATACATAAGTTGTCGATGTAAAATTGTATTAGTGGCGGCAAATAATGCAGCTAATTATGCTGGCTTGTGTGGATGATTAAGAGCGAAACGGAATTGAAGGTTTGTCTTAATGAAAATCTACACCCAAAAATGAAGAAATTCTCTCAACTTGATGGTTTCTTTTAAGTTTAAAATGTTCCACAATTACAACTACCTCATCGAAGAACGGTCACAAAACACAAAAGGTAGAGGGCAGAAAAAAAACGCTAATTAACTAGAAATTGAGAAACATTGCGGTTTAACAATTATTTATCTACAGGATAGGTCAGTTCAGCATCTGATCATTACGAATTGCTCACCACTTCCACATTTTACGGTTTTCATATTCTCTGTCTTATTCTAAACGTTAGACGTACTGTTTTGGAAAATATTCACATAACATAATATATCTCTAATTGGTAACTATATAATTGAGCGATGGAACTGCTCCTTCATAATATTTTGTATCATTTCTCAAATTCTGTAATTGAGCGATGGTAGTCTCGTTGTTCCTGGATTGTGGTAGGACTTCCAGATTTTCCAGAGGTTAGGATGAGGTTCCTGTTCAGTTCTATCCAGTATTCCTCCAGTATTCCTCCAGTTATGTTCAAAAGTTTTGCACTCAAAATAATTGGTTATAAATTAACTAATTAATGGCTGTAGGTCTAGATCAATTATCACGGTCCCTTATCACGGTCCCTGTATCAGCTGCTGACAAACATTATCAGGGAACAATAACTTAATAATAAATCAGTAAATAAAGTTACCGAGGTCGTTAAGTTAGCATATGAATGATCTACCAATATTGCAATTTGCAGGTCAAACAATGCTGCGTCAGGTTGTGCAATGGTTTTGCAAGGGTTGCATCTTGCAGGATGATTATTGATAAACCAGATAAAATTGGTTCAAGTTGTCCGCTTTGTCGATAATCCCCGTGCTTCATTGTACCCTACGTAACGTGAAGGTGGACCTTTAGGATAGGTTCCGATGACTGTTGAAAAAATGTGGCCTTTAACGGAATAATATGATGCCATCGCCTGACTAGCGTGCAGGTCGTCATTCGTCAAGCAGTTCCATTATTGCCAAATTGTAGTATTTTTCGTTTGTCACGGTATTTTAGAATTTTGATTTGATGAAATTGATTTTAGAATTCCTTGCACAAATAGTTTATGCCAAAATAAAAGTTTGAACTGAAATTACACAATATAGTTCATCCAATGCTCTTGTGTTGATTTGATTTCCTATATCGCATAATCGCATTGTCAAGACTCAAGTGTATTAATATTACCGAAGATGAAACAACGAAAAGAAGTGCTGACATTGGGAACTGACGATGAATCATCTCCTTTACAAGATACAGAATTAAAAGATGACCGGCTGCCTGGAGGTAAATACGCATTCCTAGTTTTAATTATGTTTTCACATTTAATTAATACATTGCTATGGGGTTTGGAATAATATCGTTGATTTGATAAATATTTTGTCGTAATAGTATTCATGCAGTTTGACATTAAAGTATTAATATATTTACAATGAAACTCACGACGATGGAAGAAATAAGGCACTTGACTTCATGTCAATAAGATTGGAAATAAAAAGTTTACGAATTAAATTACTTTTGGAGCCTGGAGGTAACTTCAATTGAAATTATATACTTTTCATTCTACGCTCTCTTGAATGGCTCTTCATGATTGTGGCTGAATCATTAAGTTATGTATATCAGGAATTTCTCACCAATTAACTTTCCAGATCTAACGAGATGGCATCGACTGATAATAGTGGCTTTTGCTTGCCTTGGAATGTTCGTAGTTTTCCTTACCCGGCTTTACCCTTCTGGGTTTTACTTGTACTACGTTCAAAAATCTGGTTTCATTGAAATATTCGGTAAGATGTTAATACGTTCAACAGATAAGATGATGGTTATTCATCACTTTTGAGTTTTAACCCAACTGACTTTTAAATGCTTATTTTTTGTTGTTGTTAAAATTGCTAAAAATGCTAAATTCCTACTGCCATGTTAGTTACATAATGTTTTTTTTTGCGCTAGGATGATCCTCTAAACTTTATAAAAGATGTCTAATGTTTACCTTTATTTCAGGCACGGTTTCTATTTCTGCCACCCTCGTCACCAGTCCCCTGGGTCACTACATTCGCAATTTTTTACCAAAAACCATCAGAAATGCTTCTATTTTCAAGAGGTACCTAGCATTGAGCCTTTTTAATCTAATCTTCACAGCGCTGATGGCGTTGGTGCATGTTGCTGATGATCTGAACTCTGGGCAGTATGTTATCTTTGGAATGATAGCCCTACTGAGGGGTTTCCAGGGGCTTGTTATAGGGATCATGTATGTATTTGTTCAGGTGAGGAGTGAATGTGATTATGATTTATTGTGTCGTCTGTCAAAAGTGTTTATTGAGAATTAATCACTAGGATTAAACAAAATCTAGAAATAACACATCGGTTTTTGTATCAGGCAGCAGTTTCAAGTTTGCATATTAAATAATCTCACGATGTTTCAGAGGTTTGGACAATCGTGAATTGATCATTATATTTCAGGGCGAGATAATAGACTTGTACCTAAAAGATGATCAGACAGCAATGATCCTGATCAGCAGTTTCCAGCAAGTTGGAGTGATCGTATCATCAATAGTAGGAACTGAGCTGTATGTATCCGGAGGATGGGTATTAGTTGGTGTAGGGGTGTCTGCATTTAACTCACTACCTCTTGTACTTCTACTATTGCTTAAAAACATCCAGTTGAAGGAAGGCTTCCACCAAAAAGTTGAGCTCTGCGAAAATGAAGATTCCCTCCGTCGGAGCAGTGTTGATTCCCAGACCATTTCACTCTGGCAACGGAAAACCGCATTCTATTTCCCCGATATTCTACTTCACCAACTCAATAACAGCATTCATAGAATACATCCTGCCCGTAAGAATTGTGTATTCCAGCACCATACCACTGGCTACAGCGGTACTCTTACTCATTGGCACCCTGGGCTTCGTTTCATTCCTCTCCGCTTTATCCCTCAGTTACATTTCAAGTCGAGGTAGTGGGTTTAACATTTTAAACACAATGATGGTCGGGAACTTGTTGTTCCACAGCGGAGCAGTAGTGGCGTTTGGAGCAACAACTAGTAACTTCAGATTCATGGACTTTACTTTGCAGCTGCTGTTAGGATTGTTTCTCATGGGCCTGGGTGAAGCATGTCACTTCAATCTCTGCATCCCCAGCAAGTTTGAGTTTTACGACAAGTGGAACCTGGAGAAACGGGCTCTGGGAGAGCACTCTGCCAAGATTTATAACATCGTGGTGAACGTTTCCTCCATGACTGGAACTGTTATCTCAGCTCTATCGCTGACGGTTCAGAGCGAGCTGCCCACTGTAACTGTGATATCCAGTCTGGGAGTGCTTCTGCTGGTGGGTCTTGTGTTGTGTAAGTCCGTAGTCTAGTGTGTTGAGTCGCTGGGACGTGCGTTGATGGACTTAATTTGTTTTAGATGATGGTGAGATTTAGCGTTTTTGTTTGAACCATGTTATAACTTGTTTTTTGCATTTGAACTGAAAATATCGTACATTTTTGGTTGAATATTTAGTTTCATGATTTTTATTTTATTCGTCATCCTGACTATAAAATATTACCAGTGGATTCAGTATTCAAATTGGATTAAATTTTCAACATCAACATATTATTTTCATTGTACAATGTACATAATATATCAGGTAAATTTTATGAATTACTTATTATAGTAGCTCCATCACCTAATGGGATTTAACATCGCAGCGCAACGATTTGAAATTTGGCCACATCGGGCTCAAATTCCCATTATTTTAATAATATAGGAGTGGTCATTATCCATTTCATTCTCACCAAAATATCTCATTGTAAATTTGATAAATTCTACCTACGTATCATAAATGTTGTACCGTTTAAAATTAGTTTTGATTGTGAACAGCATGGAATCTTTCTCAAATCGCAACTTTTATCGGATTAAATTTATGTTTAATCATTTTCATTGTATTTAACTAGTATCATTGGTAAATTTGTACGGTTGGTATTAGGTAAATACGCATTATTAACCTGATACTAATTAAATTTGAGTATTATCATTGTAATTATATAAATCAGTATTAAAACTTCAATCTATTGTCCAAACAATTAACAATAAACCAGCTTTGTTTAAATCCAGTGCTGTTTCCTACTACTTAAGAGAGTGCCCCGGACCTCTCAACCATCATTCTGTTAATCCCCATTTTCTGAAACTCATCCGATAGTCTGAAAATGGTTCGTCAAGTAATCCTCCTGTTGACAATAGTTTGTTGTGCTAGTGCATCAATCGACCACAAACAGATAACCGGGCTGAATAAACTCCTGGGGCTCGGAGACAAAGCGTACGCTACCTGCAACATTGTCCTGTTCACTGAGCTGGTGCAGTACGAAGAAGCGAGCGCTAACTGCAAGAAATTCAACCTTGGTGCCGGATTAGGTGAAGAAGGAAGGCTGGCTACAGTTGATGACGAGGAAAAGAACCATGATCTGATGGCGCTTCTAGAACAAGCTTACCCGATTGTAGAGCTGAACGAAGACAACAAATCACCGTGGACCAGCGAAAAGTGGGTGTGGTCTGGTCTTAGAAAGACAAAGAAAACTGACGTCGTTGGGCTGAAGCGAGGAGACTACGATCCCTTGGATTGGGAATGGGCAGACGGATCACATCCACTTGACTTCCAAAGGTGGTTCAACTTTGATAACCCTAAGAAAGCACAGCCAGACCAATATTCTGTGAAATATGGCAAGAAGTCATCATCAGATAAGAAGTGCAATGAAAAACCCAGATGTTACCAGAACCAGATGAGGATCAACCACGATGGTTTGTGGGACGACACATTCAAACAACTGGAACATCCCTACGCCTGTGACTACCAGGGCAAATATGTCCTGTCCAAAGAACAGTTGAAATGGGTAGATGCTAAAGAGGCATGCGAAGAAGCAGGACTTCATCTTGCTAAAATCCGCAGCAACGAAGAGGTTGAGGAGATGTTGGCAGCCATGGTTCATTTCCTCGGCCCGGTCGAGGAACTAACGGAAGATAACGAATGGGTCGACACAAACTGGCTTTGGGTAGGAGGAAGTGATGCAGGAGAAGAGGGTACTTGGGTATGGACGGATGGAGAACTCGTGTTACCTCAAGAGGGTAGTGATTGGGTATTCCCATGGCATGAGAAGAAGGGAAACGATAATGGGAGCAGAAAATTGCGGAAAAAGGGCGGACAGGATGCTCTTTCATTCTCCCGATGGGGAGAATTCGATGACTCTCACATTGACAACATGGAGACCATGCGCCCATTTGCTTGCCAGTGTCCAGAGGATGTGGGCTTGCACATCCATTAGTTAATTAATTATTTAATTAGTTATACTCGTGGATGTTGAAAGATTTAGAACGTTTAACTAAACATGGAAAATTTCGTGAATCCTATTCGATGTATCTATCAATCAGAATTTTATTAATAAGGGATCAATTTTAGTATTAATAAAGATGAAACGGTTGAAAACATTATTATTTTTTATATAATATTATATTATACATCATTTTAAAAGGGCAGATCTCTGTTTCACTTTGTCTTAAAACTTTCAAAACTTAAAATTTTATCAAAGTAGTAAAGCGAAACGGGAATTCAGTATAGCTAATTACTCAATTGATAGTTTTAACTTGCATCCAATTAGAACATTAACGAGAGAATCTACAGTTTAATTACAAGAAACTCAGAGCTTGGACTCTGGCCAAAGAGCCAAAGCATAAATACTAGTTTAAAAATTTATTTATTGCTTGTTTCAGAGCATTATATTTAGATACCTGCAACTGGAAAATTAGTATATCCTGTAAATTGGGGCAAGGTTTGACTGTGTATTGTATTTGTCGTCAATTGTGAGATATTTCTAATCAGTTTGTTGGGGTTGCAAACCGAAAAAGAGACGTGTGCAGTGTTTAATTAAACTTTAATTTCAAACGAAATTTAAAAAATGCAGAGCTTTAGGTATCAAAACGAAAAAAAAACGTTTGTCAAACACCCATTTCATTTACTTTTTTTATTAAAACCCATTTCATTTACTTTTTAAAAACCCAGTAATTTGCTTTCCAGAATTATTGCAGTAAGCTTGTAGAATACTGCATTTGAAAACATTTGCTTAAAATTTGCCACTCATCACTTAAACAGATAAAGATCATAGCTTAAAATGCCACGATCAATATACATCATGTAAAACAAATGTAAAACACTGTACGTACCGATATTGAGTTTTGAGAACACTTCAATCTAAGTTTTAATGGTTTAAAGGAGATTAATTTGTCATTTCATGCCCGATAACCCAAGACCTTGTCGTGACATTTGTGATATTAATGAAATAATCAAACGAACGAGTTTGACTATTTTCCTAATCGCACAACAAGGGGACCGGTGAATACCTTTATAGTGTTGTTTATCAGTTGCAGAGAGTGATCAGTGAAAATACCGGCACTGCTACAAACTCAGCTGCAGTTGCACAATACAGTTAAGCCTCTCAATACCGGGCATCTCGGGAAAACGAAAAGTGCACGGTATAGAAAAACTCGGTATAGAAGTTTAACATGAACCCAATTTATAGTATCTGAAACCTCTCAAGCGTCTCATTTACCCCATTAGTCCCATTAGGGACCTTTTATAACCAAACTTAAAATATTTCATCTACTGCACTAAAGTGGTAAAGCAACTTAAGCAGAGTTGGGTATTATCACATTCGAACAGGACGTGTTCTCATGAAGTAGACTGGTAGTTAACATTACTAGAATTGTTTAACATTGCTACAATAGCCCCTACTTTCACTACAATAGGCCCTATTCACATCATGACATCTGTAACAAGAGACCTCTATGGGGTCCATTTTCACTACACGTCCATTGACGTAAAATTCTTTTGTTGTAGGGTATTGCACTGAAGATGTCACACATGTCTACATAACTAGTGTATTATACATTGTATTAACCTTCTTTATATTTTTCCAACGGTACGATACAATAATCACGTCTACAACATATCAGTTAAAACAGTAAATATATCAATACGTTTACTCAACAAAAAACATGCCACTCACCCATTTCAGTAGTGAGAACAACAGATGCCTCCTTTACCCCCTCTAACTGGAGTAACATTCTTTCTATACTGTTAGTACAGGAACTACACGTCATACCTGTTATGTGCACCGCCAGCTGGATAAGGAGTGGGGTTAGGTGTTGTTAGGTGTTGTTAGGGTGTTGTTAGGGTGTTGTTAGGTGTTGTTAGGTGTTGTTAGGTGTTGTTTGCAAGGAAACAGACTTTAAGGTACAATTAACTAGAGAAGCTGTTTCAAGAAAGAAAAAAAAGGTACAAATTTGAGGAAGAAATAGGGTAATTAGTGGACACTTATGATAGAGAAACACGAAGTAATCGGAAAATAAAGTCCAGCAGGGAGAGGGAGAGAGAGGAACAGGTAATAACAGGGACAATATGCTTACCTCGCTGAACCCGGAATGTTTTCCGTCCTGAATTATAGTACAGATGAATCCCATACTGTTAATCTTGTCCTCTATTTCTTTAGAGGTGATATGACCGGGCTGATACTCTATTTCTCCTTTCTCTCCCACCAAGTTAACCTGCATGGGGGGATACAACGGTCATTAATGTGCATTAATGGGTATAAATGGGCATTAATGTGCATTAATGTATATGTATATTTCAGCAAAATTCTATAATACTGACATTAATGACCAGGTTTTTTTGCAAATTTTGTAGTAGTTCGTGGTCATTTATGTGCATTAATGGGCATAAATGGGCATAAATGGGCATAAATGGGCATTAATGTGCATTAATGTATATGTATATTTTTATAAATTTAACATATATACATAAAATTCTATAATACTGACATTAATGACAAGGTTTTTTTTGCAAATTTTGTAGTAGTTCGTGGTCATTTATGTGCATTAATGGGCATTAATGGGCATTAATGGGCATAAATGGGCATTAATGTGCATTAATGTATATGTATATTTCAGCAAAATTCTATAATACTGACATTAATGACCGTTGTATCCCCCCCCCCCACCTGCATGTAGGGGGTTTGTTACATTACCTAGATTAAACCAGGATTAAGCAGAAAGTATTTCACTTTCCAAATAATGGTATTGGAGCTTCTATTCTATACTTCTGGTTCCCTAGCTTGCTTCCATCTTAAGGTCGTGGTAAGTCACAGTCTTCAAACTATTACTATTAGCTAAATTATCTCCCAACCACTACGATAATAAGTAGCCAATTAGTAACCAATCAGTAACCAATCAGTAACCAATCAGTAACCAATCAGTAACCAATTAGTAACCAATTAACTACTCACCCTAACAGATCTCACTCCCAACATCTTGGTAACATTGGTCTCTATAGCGTTAACACAGGTAGCACATGACATTCCTTGAATAGCTACCAGGAGTCTGCGGGGTGAGCTATCTAGATCCTGTAGTTCAACTTCTAATGTGGTAGATTTCAACTGAAAATAGTGGTTAGTTAATTGACTGCCAGGGAATTGTTTGGTAGTTTATTTTTCGATATTTCGTCGTACCTGCTTGTTTTTTAATTCTGTTCACTTTGGATGGAAGTCGTCTTCAAAATGTTCTGCATTGAAATGAAACAGGGTATTCATATCCCTCTTGCATCAAAATTAGATAATAAATATAACAGTTGCCGATGTCAAAACAGCCCTCCTAACTTAATTACTGATTATTTAATAATTAAGAACTTAAAAAGTACCTTCTTTTCCTTTGGAGGTTTCTTTTGTCGAGATATGGTTTTGTTAACCAGAGCCAACACTTCATCGTAACTAATAACATCTGATTCTGCTTCCAACACTATGCACTTTTCGCCTGTAATAAATGTTAAATGATACTTCATTGATAATTAATGATTAAAATCACTTTCAACACATTTTATTCTCTATTGCAATCGTCCTTTTTTCGCTTCATTTCATAATCGAAAAGGAAGTAATTTTTTCTTTCGAATTGTTCATTTTTTGGATTCTGGGTATTTTTACAAACTAAAACAGATTCAAAACAAACAAATTAGTCCATACTTCCAGACATCTACCCGATAGACGACAATCGTTATTCAATGATCACGCTAACGTTTGTTTTCATAAATCATAACAAAAAAGCCCGTTGATGAAAATGAACAGACTTTTGATATGAACGATTTGTCATTATCATTATTTCAGTTTTCTTCAATCATTGATATTGAATACGATTTTATCATCAGACACATTATCAATGCACTATTGAACGAAAGTGAAAAGCCTGTAAGATTCGATCCAAGGGACTGATTGTTTAGAATTTGTCATTTTGTCAAGTTTTACTCAGTGTAAACCACTAACCAGCTACAAAATTTGAAGCACGTACATGTAAGTAATATGTAAAGTAAAATGTAAACACTAAACAACTTATTATGCTATAAGTATTATTAAGTAAAATAACGCACTTATGCTATAAGTATTATTAAGTAAAATAACGCACTTATGCTATAAGTAATATTAAGTAAAATAACGCACTTATGCTATAAGTAATAAGTAAAATAACGCATTTATGCTATAAGTATTATTAAGTAAAATAACGCACTTATGCTATAAGTAATATTAAGTAAAATAACGAACTTATGCTATAAGTAATAAGTAAAATAATGCACTTATGCTATAAGTATTATTAAGTAAAATAACGCACTTATGCTATAAGTATTATTAAGTAAAATAACGCACTTATCCTACAAGTAATAAGTATAATAACGCACTTTAAATGCTATAAGTAATAAGTAAAATAACGCACTTATGCTATAAGTAATATTAAGTAAAATAACGCACTTATGCTATAAGCAATATTAAGTAAAATAACGCACTTATGCTATAAGTAATATTAAGTAAAATAACGCACCTATGCTATAAGTAATATTAAGTAAAATAACGCACTTATGCTATAAGTAATAAGTAAAATAACGCACTTATGCTATAAGTAATATTAAGTAAAATAACGCACTTATGCTATAAGCAATATTAAGTAAAATAACGCACTTATGCTATAAGTAATATTAAGTAAAATAACGCACTTATGCTATAAGTAATATTAAGTAAAATAACGCACTTATGCTATAAGTAATATTAAGTAAAATAACGCACTTATGCTATAAGTAATATTAAGTAAAATAACGCACCTATAGAGATCTGTGTGACCCCCGGGACTGGTGAGAGTAACTGGTCGTATATCTTCCTGCTCTGTGGAGTGAGCTGCTTTCCTGTGTCTATGTACAGGTTTACTGTATTACCTGATAATGATAACAGTTAATTAATTAGTTGGTTAATTAGTTGGTTAATTCGTTGGTTAATTAATAATTACCTGATAATAATAGCTAATTATACAAGAATTTGCTCAGTTTCGACTATAATACTGAGTGTTACATTCACAACTCAGCCTTTTGTAGTTACATTTTCACTGCTCTGTAATGATTGGAGAAGCATATATCAAGAGGAATCGCGTTGTAATAGTATCGGTTATATTATCGCCTAGTCTTGCTACAGGTACCCATTTTGAAAATAGCTTTCGAACTTTCGAACATAAACATTTAAAAATTAATGATTTTGTTCACCATTTTTCATTGTTTTCTCATATTTTCAAACGTTTTTAAGTGAACTATGTACCCCCCCCCCCCCCCTATGTAGTTAAGACATGATATACAGGGTGTTTACAAAACATTGGTACGATCTTAAACATCTGTAAATTAATTTATGAAAGAGCAACCAGCTATATTTTGTATCTATTTTCTTTGTAAATCGGTTAAAATCGTGCTAAAACCAGTTGGGGTATAGGACACGAGAGCGGATGACACAAGAGTGGAGGATACGAGGGTGTACACGAGGGTGTACACGAGTGACGAGGGTGTACACGAGGGAGAATCACATGATACTCACCTCAACATGGACAATAGTTCATCATTTGGGACCCCCTTAGTGTCCTACGTGTCACCCGCCTTTGTGTCCGGTTCCCAAAAGGCTCCTTAACCTATACCTTACCCTTTACCTTGTAAAATATAGTAATCTACATACCGTGCATACCTTTACCTATTACTTACCCTTTACCTTGTAAAATATAGTAATCTACATACCGTGCATACCTTTACCTATTACTTACCCTTTACCTTGTAAAATATAGTAATCTACATACCGTGCATAGGAGAGTCTGATTTAGGAAAAGTATTAAAACCAAGGTCACTGATAACTTTGCAGAGGGTAAACACGGTGAAGTCCGGCAGTGCTGTGTACTCGACCACTGCTAACTTGTCTCTCAGGGACACCTGGGGTAATTAGCGGTCAATTAGAATAATTATGGGGTCATTAGTAATGAGGGCCGCTGCCAAGTGTCAATTAGTTGTTACTTAATTTATAAGACTAGAGTGAGAGTCCAGGATATAATATAATGGGCCCAGTTTTGCTATTACATTTGATTGTAATGCAGTAAATTTATGATGTAAGAATGTAATGACATTGATCTATGATGCAATTACTAACTTACTAGCAATAAGGTAATACTAAGGGTATAAAGTCCTGAGTCAAGAGCTGACTTCTCATTTTTGTTCACTCTTGAGTCCAAATCACAATGCCAGTAAAGGTACACAAATTAAAATAAATACTCGCTTCTCTGAGAAAAGCAGAAAAGCTAGTATTTATGTTAGAAAAGTTGTCTCTCAAATGCCAAAATAAAATTGCTAAAATCATCAGCTGCACAGCCAAGCAGCAATATTGCCGTGAATATTGGATATTTATTGGAGTTTTAATATCCCAGCTCGAACATTTCTCAGCCTAGATGATTATATCAAATATAGGTACTGTAGTTAGTTAGTTACTTTGTGGCACACGATATTTCATATTAAACGCTGTAAGATTGACCTGTCAGATGGCTGTCAAATCAAATTACAGTGCAAGACAATATGATATCTGCACGTAAGATTGACCATACATTTTTCTATTGTAGGTGAAATCTGACGCTTCCACTGATGTGTTGTGTACAAAAAATACTGCCATTACCAAAATAGAACATGAAGTGCGACAATATATTGCGACACACTAAATTACGATAACATTATATTGCGACACACTAAATTACGATAGCATTATATTGCGACACACTAAATTACGATAACATTATATTGCGACACACTAAATTACGATAACAATATATTGCGACACACTAAAATACGATAACATTATATTGCGACACACTAAATTACGATAACATTATATTGCGACACACTAAATTACGATAACATTATATTGCGACATACTAAATTACGATAACATTATATTGCGACAAACGGAAAACTAAAAATGATAAACTCAAGTAAACTGAGGTAAATGTAACAGGTAAATGTAACAGGTAAATGTAACAGGTAAATGTAACAGGTAAATGTAACAGGCAAATGTAACAGGTAAATGTAACAGGTAAATATAACAGGTAAATGTAACAGGTAAATGTACCAGGTAAATGTAACAGGTAAATGTAACAGGTAAATGTAACAGGTAAATGTAACAGGTAAATGTAACAGGTAGATGTAACAGGTAAATGTAACAGGTAAATGTAACAGGTAACTGTAACAGGTAAATGTAACAGGTAAATGTAACAGGTAAATGTAACAGGTAAATGTAACAGGTAAATGTAACTCACAACAACAGATCTGACGTTAGAACACTTGACAGGAAGTGTATCCTGAATAACACTGACACAGCTCTGACACGTCATCCCTTCCACAGTTATACTGCACTTTCTGGTATCCCCCACGGGGGGTGCACCCCCGAACCCTAGGGGGTCTGAGGGGCGAGCTGTGAGGTTAGGGGCGCTGAAGGGGGAGATGGGACCCCATTCGCTGGGGGTGGGGGCTGTGGTGGGGGTAGAGCTGTTTTTCTGTTTGCAACTGAAATGTTTTAAAGGTAAGCGGAGGGTGGGAAAATATGATTAGATCTGTTAACCGTGCAGCGCACATGTGCAAAGATTTAGAGTTCGTGACTCGGCGATTGCTCGATTAGTCATTTAATTAATTAATTAGTTAATTAGTTATAATTGTGCCAAAAATATTGTTAACACATCAATTTTATCAGTTGTTATTTAACCACAACATCCTCAATATTCTAGTTAAATTCCTTGTTTCTCAGCTACGTACTACAGCATCACACATGAATACAAATTATTATTACTAGGTACCTATATGAATTACATACTAGTACGTACTTAGTACGTACTTAGGTACGCCGCTCACGTCATCTAACATTTAACTAAATTTAAAAACCCTTCAATCTAACATTTAACTGAATTATAAAAATGCTAAACGCGATTCTCTTAAAAGAACATTACCCTTCTCAAACATTTTCGTCAAACTAATTTATCCTAACTTGTACAATTAACATTCAATAAAATAATATTTGATCTGAAAATCCAAAAATATCATGATAATGAATCCGTTAAGAAAAACCATCGATGGTAAATACGTCAAAAAATCGCCTGTAAATACGCCGTATTCAAAAATTCTAAGAAATACGTGAAATACGGCAAAATTTGGCGCTTAAATTCTTTGATGGTAAAATTTTTCAAAATACGCGCGTATCTCTTTCGAAATACGTGATTACAGATTAGTGATATTTGCGCGTGCGTCGCTGGCCCAGTGGTAATGGTATATTAATATAGCAATACTGACAGTCGTTTTGGAGACTTCACGGTGCTCGAATGAAAACGCTGCAGCGACTTGCTATTCTTATGCTGAACCAACCAATCAGTCAGTCTGCTGCAGAGCAGAGCTTCTCAGGTTATAAAGCAGTTATGCCTCCCTCGAGGAATAGACTTTCAACCGAGACCCAGTTCCAGTGCATTTTTATCTATTACAATATTCGCAGACTAAGATCACAAGTCTCTCTTGCTTGAATTTTGAAACCGGTTACCGGATTAACACGGACTTCCCAGTGGCATAAGTTTAAAAAGTGACTAGGAATCCAGCCTGGAAAGAAAGAACGGCTATAATAAACTTTTAAAACGGCTATAATAAATTTTTCGGCCGGATGACGATTTCATTTCACCTTGCTAGTTATATTACAGAGGTATTTTTAGTTATTCATTAGTTATTCATAATTGCCAAAAAGTATGGGAAAAATTATCCTATCCGAGTCACGAACTCGCAATCTGCTGATTTGGAGCTAGCGTATTAACCAATTAGGCCACGATTCCATATGCTGTGATGTAATATTTATATATCGATCTTCGCGCGTTACTGCAACTTAATTTGAAATACGTAATTTATCATCGGGAAATACGTATGCGTAGTACCTACGCGTAGTCTCCCCAAAACGCATTTACCATCCTTGAGAAAAACGGCAGAATGGAACAATCCCGACCCACCTTAAGTGGGAAGCTTAGGTGGGAAGTTTAGGTGGGAAGTTTAGGTTTAAGCTTCCCACTTAAGGTGGGTCGGGATTGTTCCATTCTGCCAGAAAAACATCTTCATGATATCCTCTCATGAGCCACCAGGTCCAGCCTCTCTTTAAAAACAGCAAAACTTAAGTAGACTCACGTAAACTTCCCGATACTGTTGATACAACACTCCACAGCTAGAGCAGTAACTAATGCTGGGTCGTGCTTCACCACTGCTTCACAGGAGGGAAGACTGACTGAGGTAGTTAGTACACCTTCCAGCTTGTTCACTGTATCCTGGTGAGGAGGAGATGTGTTTAAGATGTGTTAAAGATGTGTTAAAGATGTGTTAAAGATGTGTTAAAGATGTGTTAAAGATGTGTTAAAAATGTGTTAAAGATGTGTTAAAGATGTGTTAAAAATGTGTTAAAGATGTGTTAAAGATGTGTTAAAGATGTGTTAAAAATGTGTTAAAGATGTGTTAAAGATGTGTTAAAGATGTGTTAAAGATGTGTTAAAGATGTGTTAAATTATTTATTCTTGTCCAAGTGATATCGTATATGATCAGCAGACATTTTTGCCGAATAAAACAGTAGCGTTATAGAGTGAACTTATACCTGTATTTTAGCTACACATCTCTGGCAAGTCATTCCCTTTACTTCGAAGTAGGAAGTACTCATTTCTAGCTTCTCAGTGATCTGGATTACAGAGAAATTAAAGTAACAAACTACCAAATTACATGAGTCTAATTGATTAAAACATGTTTGGATGCACTCGTAAACTGCTGGGAGCTGGCACTGCTACAACCGTCACGATAAGAATTGATTAAACCAGCTGTGATAAACGTAAGACAAATATAATGAGGTAAAATGTATGCTGATGATAGTGTGTACCCACCACGGATAAAATTCCAGAAGATCGTTTGGACGGGGTCGCAGTAAACTTGGGTCCGATATTATTGATGATATCCGCTATCGTGTTTACGTCAAAATCTTTAGAACAAACAAACAATCCACGGTCTTCTTTGAGCCTGTAAAATGGTTGCTTCTAATTCACTTCTCATTTCTTCATTTACTTTTAGTTCTCAATTTCTTATCATCGTTGATTTAAGTGCATTTTCTAGACGATCCTGTAAGGTCAACGTTACGCTAAGCATTATATTAAGTTATGTTATCACTATATGCCGTAAAACTTGACACCATCATTAATCATTATGTTAAGTTAAGTAATGTTATCAGCTGCCACGCCTTCAAAAAGCTTCTTAAAGAAGCTTCTAGAACAATTCTCTAGTACGTCTAGAACCAGTGTCCGCTCTATGTAGACGTGACGCATCTCAGAGAATTACTAACACTAGGGTAAAGTCTGCCGTTTTCTGACAAAACTGCTTAAAGACCACTTAAAAATCCGAGATTTCAAGCACTTTTGACACATTCATGACAACTTTTGTACAGGTGCGATGAACGCGACATGACGTAAAGCATCGCCTATTTGTATTGTATAGAAAAATTCTAGAACAATTGTATACATACTTTAACAAATACCTATACCAGTAGTTCCGCGCCCCGTTTACAACAATTGCTATGGTAACCACTATACAAAAAGCCAACAGAACAATAGCTCAAGTTTGCTATTGCAAACTTTACAAGTGAAAGTGAACAAAGAAGGGGTCACGTGATTATTATAATATCATCATAGCTTTACTGTGCCTATAGGTGTTAAGTTAAACCTTGATGTTAATTTAACGTGGGGTTGGGATTAGGTTCATCGTCTTATTGGATGTTTGAATATGATGCTATAATATATTATATACGTTGCCAACGCGAGTCGAGTCTCGCAGTAAAGAAGAGATAATATTTCTTTCGTAAATCGCTGGAATTAAACAGGAATTAAACATTAACTCGCTGTAATAAAACACCCAAAGGATCGTATCAAACTGTTAATTTATATCGCTTACCAGTCATATTGATTATATTATGGAGCGTACTTGGCAAATACGTGTCATACTATTGAGATATTTTGCTCGTGTTACTCTTGTTACTGATCAATAATAATGTATTGTCAAACAAGGTTCTCTACAAACATTGTAACATGGTGTTTGCAGTACAACTAACTCTGACCTCCTTTAGACATTCTTTTAATTCAGGGTAGAGTTAGTAATAGAACCAATAAAGATAAGCATGACGATATAAGTTATAGTCAAAGATTAAATTCCATGATGGGGTATCATTTAGGCACACAGACAAAGTGACTGTACTCATAATGCTTGCTACTTAAACAGTTACTCCTGGCACGTGCTGCAGTGCTGCACGTGCAACAGGTCTCTAATAAGTAGCACGTGCTAAATCATAAATGCTAAATCATAAATACTAAAATTTCATAAATGTAAATGGTTTATATTTTATAAGAAATCATGTCGAGCTACACTATACAGAGTTTAGCAGTTAAATGCTGTTTTGTAACACAAATACCACGTTATTTACCTCAGTTCAACATCGTATGAATACAGGTAAGGTAAACGTGGTAGTGACGAAGATCATAATATTCTTGTGTCATTTATAAAGCACATCTGTCTATGTCAGTTTTATAACCTTATTCAATATTTTCCATCACTTAGACGCTCGATAAGAAACTTTTCATTGAGCGAGACGGTTAGATTGTTTTGAATTCCATATAAATTTAATTTTAAGATATCACTAGTTGTGTTATATCTTGTATGGATCTATGATAGAAGGGTGCACACCTCAGCCACTCGCTAAAAAGACTAAATTTGTCAAGTTATTAATAGCGGCAGCTGAGATATTCAACCTAGGGAAATCATGTAACTTGTCCTCCCACCAGATACTTAGATCTAATTTTAAATTACTTAGATCTAATTTTATATCAATATCAGCAGATCCCTTATCTTGGTTCCTCCCAGATAACCTCTGGATTGAAACTAATTTTAAATACGGTGAAGCGACGACTAAAATCTTCTTTATCATATAAAACGGGCCATTAATTGTTTCATTTGTTGCCAATAATGCTGCTTATCTTAGTCTGGAACGAGGATTCAGGAATAAATTGTGGTACTAATTATAATATTGTTGCAATATATTTCATGGTAATACGATCAAGTCACGTTGCAGGAGCATCTAGGAACATATTGTAGATACGAGCATATTCGAGCAGTGGTGTACTTTGGTAAACGTTGGATTAAGGTAAGACATAACTTTAAAAGTTGTAAAGACATTATAACTTAATTCAACAGAAAAGTCGTAATTTGAGACATCGGGTACCTACTGTCCTACTTAGTTATAAAATTATTCACACAAACGTAATGTAGCTGAACTGCTGGAGTTGTGAAAGTATTCATCAAACGGATCAAGTGAAAGTGAAAGTGAAAGTGAAAGTGAAAGTGAAATTAGCCCACCTGATCTGGAACATCAGTAGAGGGAGCTCCTGAATACTCTGTGAGATAGCGTTCACACACCTCTCACAGGACATCCCAAATATGTGAACTTCGTGTAGAACAGCGGCCGTGGCACCCACTTGCATTCCTGATATTATGCTCGTAATACTAATATTATATTATTAATTTATGCTCATAATATTATAATTACATTATGGTGCAGAGTCAGGTAAAGGTCTCAGGTTTGCCAACAGGAGACAGGAGGAGATTGATAAGTTGGTCATTGAGAGGAGAGTGCTGAGGAGGAAAGCCAGGAAAGCTTGTTCCCAGTCTGTAAAGGATGGTTTCAATGCTTTGCTTAGAGGCCTGGCAGAGAAGCTGTGTAAGTTGAGAAGAGCAGAGGCAAGGAGGAAGAAGCAGAGAGAAGTGAGGAGACAGAGAGGTGGGTTTACTCGAGATCCTTTCAAGGCTATTAAAGGTATTCTTGAACCAAGCCCTGTGGGAGAGTTAAAGTGTAGTAAGGAGGAGTTAGACAACCACCTGTCTAATACGTATAGTGATGCCAGTCGGGCAGTTCCTCTTGGCGTTCTGAATGGGTTACCTGAGGCAGCTCCTAGCCCAACTGTGGGGTTTGACAGCAGGAATATAACCAAGAAGGAGTTCGAAGAGGTTGTTAAGAAAGCCAGAGGTAAGAGTTCACCTGGTAACAACGGCATCCCGTATACGGTGTACAAGAGGTGTCCAGGAATATCTCAGAACTTGTGGCATGTGCTGAGAGGAGGCTACAAGGCTGAGGAGTACCCAGACAACTGTAGGTACTTTGAAGGGATCTACATTCCTAAGGCGGATGGAGATTTTGGACCCAGCACAGGACGTCCTATATCGCTAGGAAACATTCAGGGGAAGATATACCTCGCTGTGTTGGCGAAAAGATTAACCAACTTTGTTGTCGCTAACGGGTATGTGGATCTCTCAGTGCAGAAGGGTGGAGTTCCTGGTGTACACGGATGTACAGAGCACTTTGGAGCTATGTGGGAGGTGCTCAAAGATGCTAGAGTTAAGAGAAAGGATCTGAGTGTTGTCTGGTTAGACTTGGCGAATGCTTACGGGGCTGTTCCACATTTACTTATTGTGAAAGCACTCCGCTTCTATCATATCCCCGAGAAAGTTATCAACATCGTTATCAAATACTTCTCGGAAGTTTACGGAAGATTCTCCTCTAAAACAGTGACATCAGAGTGGCAGCAGTTCGAGATAGGAATATTTATGGGCTGTGTCATCTCGGTGATCTTGTTTGTGCTATGCATGAACCTTTCTGACGAGTACTTGAAGATGAAGGTACCCAGGAGTGTCGAGTACATTAAGGATGGAACAGCTATACCACCCCTTAAGCTGTTTATGGATGATAGCTGCCTTACCACGGCTAAAATGGTAGATATGCAAACCCTGCTTGATGTTTATCAGGAGTTCGTTGTGTGGTCAAGGTTCAAGCTTAAGTCGTCTAAGTCTAGGGCACTAGTCTACCAGAAGGGAGTGACAGTGGAGTGGGTTGTAGAGAGTTCAGAAGGTAGTCAGGCGAGGTTGCAGCTTAGCGGGGAGGTGATCCCGAATGTATCTGAGAAACCAATCAAGTTTCTAGGGAGGTGGATTCGGGCAGAAGGAAAGGACAAAGCTATAATCGAGAAAACACACGAGGATCTTGTTACATACCTCAGTAGACTCGATCTTAGCTCCCTCACCGGCCTGCAGAAATGTTGGGGGTATCAGTATATGGTCCTTCCAAAGATGAAGTGGCCACTTGCCATTTATGATATCCCGATCAGCACTGTTTCTCGCTGGGAGCAAACAACTAACAGTCATCTCAGAAAATGGCTAGGAGTGGGACACACGCTTAGTAGCTCTTGCCTGTTTAGTCATTCATCCAGTGTTGCTCTCCCCATCGACAACCTAACCGACACTTGGAAAGTAGAAAAGTGCCGTCTCTTGCAGTCATATCAAACATCTCAGGATGCTTTGATCAGAGCGGTGCAACCCCAGGTGCGGTCTGGGAGAGTTTGGAAGGCAGATGCTCAGCTTCACGAAGCTGAAAGAGACTTGGTGTGTGAGTCAGTGCGAGGTATGGTGCAACCTCTTAGTAGAGCGGGAATTGGTTTCGGTGATTGGAAGAAGCCCTGGGAGAAGATGTCAGAAAAGGAGCAGCAGAGGGAGGTGTTGGATAGGGTTAAGGAGAACATCAGGAAGGAAAGAGAGGTGCAGTTGGGTACGTTGGAGATGCAGTCCAGGTGGGGTAATTGGAGAGAGCTGGTGACAAGGACTGACATGAGCTGGCACACGCTCTTCAAGTATGGGGACTCATTAATCGGTTTTCTGCTTAGTGCTGTGTATGGCACGCTTATTACACCAGCTTTAGCATCCAAGTGGAGCGAGGATGAGGATGGGATGTGCAAGCTGTGTGGTGACAAGTTGGGAACTGTGCCGCATATTCTGGCTGGTTGTCCTGTGGCACTAAGTCAAGGGAGATACCGATGGCGCCACGATAAGGTGCTTAAACAAATAGCAGACCAAGTGAAATTCCATTGTGAGCGGAGAGTCAACAAGAGGAAGAGCTCTTGTGTCACTCGGAAAGCCATTGAGTTTGTTCCAGCAGGAGGGAGGTTTAAGGAGGTGAAGAGGTCGAAAGTCAGTGAGTTTGGGATTCTGAGTGGGGCCACTGATTGGATAGTATTAGCAGACCTGGATGAGCAGCTGAAATTCCCGTCGGATATAGCAACGACCAGATTAAGACCAGATTTGGTTCTTTTCTCGAAAGCTTCCAAGAGAGTAATCTGGTGGGAGCTTACAGTACCGTCGGAAGAGAGAATAGCTGCATCCCATGAGCTGAAGCTTGATCGGTATAACAGTCTACAAGCGGAAATACAAGCTAATGGGTGGTCATGTTTCAGCTTTGCTGTTGAGGTTGGTGCTAGAGGTGTGGTCGCAGCAAGTTTGGAGTGTGCATCAAGGAAGATTGGTCTGCCTGGGAGAGCCCTCAAGAAGTTGGTCAGAGATTGTGGGAAGGATGCAGCCCATTGTTCAAGATGGATTTATCTGCTGTCTAGGAAAAGAGAGTGGGAGATGAGAGCTGTTTGAGCTTTATGACTTCACCTAACAGCCAGAGGTGCCATAAGCTAACTCGTCGTAAATCGCGAGCTCTAGCAGGTATCCTCGGGTGATTGTCAGATCAGATGGTGGTCCAAGAGAGACTGCTGGGGCACCTGACAGAAAACCGTATCGCAATGAAAGCCCCGAAACGGTGTCAGGTTTGTGACTGAAGATTCTGATCAAGCTCAGGGTTGAGTCTACACAGTGTCGCCACTTGCCGATGCCAGTTGATGCGAGAAGACACTGATGTAAGTGGGAAGTTATGTCTAAGAAACAGCGTGTGGTTCGGGTGCCGGTTGAACGCATGTAAAAGGGAGGGTATATCCGTATTTCGCTGCTAGTGATGCAGTCCTTAGCCCGGTAGCTAAGGCTTCCCCGTTTCTCGCTCATTTGTGCTCCGATGGGCTTGTGACCTCTGCGGGGGTCAAGTGCAGGATGAGGGACATGGCTGACCAGGAGAAGGTTGTTTTTGGGAGATAGAGTAAGGTTGGTTTGGTGTTGTGCCTTCGCAGTTTAACTGTATCTTTACTCTATGCTTCTCATTTATTCGTTACACTGACCGCTCATGACTCGCGTAAACACAGATCGTTGTTCATTAATCAGGTGTTTTCTTTAGAGTTTCGAGACTTAAGACTTGGATGTCAGAAATATTAACTACTTTGAATTCTGAAACGCTTTCATTCTCTAAAAGTCTCGATAAAATAAAATGTGTAAAATATCAATTTAAAAAATATAAAAATATTTGAGTGATTTGAGGTCTCTTTTACTTTTCTACTTACCAACCGAAGAAGAGAAGGAGTTCTCTGAAACTACTTTAACAGTTTTACCAGACACTTTGCAGAGACACTGTGATTCTGATGCTGAAATGAAAACCAGGTTAAAAATCGGTAAACTTCATTTTCAAATTCCAATACTGACAGATCCATCTGAAAAAAATCGGTTAACTGACACAACGAGCTTTCAAAGGATGTTTTAGTCCAATTAGGTGTCCTTTGTGGATGATCAACTTTTCCAAACATTTTCAAGAGTCTTGAAGCCACTTTGTTGTGAACATCAAACATAATATAATTTGGTTTGATTGAGGACGCCAACGCAGCAGGTATGCGGCAGTAAGTAATATTCCGTTAATTTCGACGACCGGTAAATAATTAATCAATATAGATATTTATCATTTCATTCATATTGTATGCAGAAAACAATGTTGCAAGATATTCGCATTCCGATGAGGAATGCAGATAATATCTTGCAACATTATTTTCTACACTACTGCAGGCAATATGAATGAAATGATAAATAATTATATATAATATACTAGAAACCTGCTAGTCGAAAGCTTTGTTCGAGAAAATTAAAAAATCAGTTATTTTTTAATTTCTCTTCATCATCTAGATGTGTACTGTAGTATGGATTTTATTTGACAATGACGACAAAGTTGTAAGTATTCAAATTCCCTAAACAATACTTTTTACCGCATCGAAAAATATCAATAAAAACGTAAATGTGAGCTAGTTATGACGTATCATTATAAAGCATGGCAACGTGCGTTGACAGATTCTTCACGTTACGAGTTCAGAATTATTTTGCAAACACGTTACACCCCCCCATTCCATACTTATTATAAACGTACCAAACTTTCTATCTTAGAAACCGTTTAAATTCAATTTAAGAAATTCACAAGATTACACTTACATAATATGTTAAAACATTTGAATATTGAACTTAACAAGACGTTTAGAACGCAAGTTAGGTGAATAAGCGTGATTTAAACTTTGGCCTTGTGCCAAATGATAAGAAGTTTTACTCGACAAATTTGCCGTATTCAAAGTCTAGAATAACTCATACTATAAAACTGTTTACGGAGGTGGGGGGGGGGGTAAAAATTGTCCAAAAAGTGATTACGTAACAATATGTGAACGATCCCTAAGTACCATTTTCTGGCTTTAGTGGTATTGACGATATTATGTTTTCCAACGTAAGTTACTTTTCTTAACTTAGTATTCATGTTATTTTCTGGGATGGCTAGTTTAAACACTGCTGAGTATAGGTTTTATTTTAATAGCGGTGTTATTAAATTTCTATTTATTATTATAACAACAGAAAGTAGTCGTTATTTGTTAATGATATGATGATAGCAAGTACTTGATACTTTGATGAAGCTGTATCTTAATCTAGCATCTAGTTGCTATGGTATAGTAACTATAGCAACTACAAGTAGTACTAAAGTAGTACTGGCGAAGTAGTCACTTTTATTTCTCTGTAAACATAAAGGTGTTACAAAAGGTGTTACAAAAGGTGTTATAAGATGTGTTATAGAGGGTGTAACTATTACCATAGTACACGTCCAGGGGATGTGAGATGTTGGCGTCACGCTGCTTTACTAGTAGGGCGTTTTATAGGATACATGTAAATTATCACAGGGGTCTGATACCAATATAACCGCTGCTTACACAGTACAGCTAAGTGTGACAACTCAATATTATCGAGTGCTTGATTGAAGACATTGAGCCTTTAAAAGTTTGAATTACGCAAGAAGCACGCACGGACACGTAGCATTGGATATTAATAAAAAAGATGTATAGCATTGGATGGGGTGATAATTTGCACAATCTAGAATAATCTAGAATAATTCTATAGTTCCAAGACTCCTTTCTAAAGAAAGATGACAGTACTGCAACTGTATGATCATCAGCGCTGTGAACTGTGCAGTGATCCGTAGGATCGTAGCATGAGCAAAGTTAAATACACATATTTATAGATAAATATTAAATACACATAAATACATTGCTAAACATTCTTTTTAATTGTGGTGAAATGGAATGGGTACCTTAAGAGAATTTGAGATTTTAGCATCTTGGAATTCACCAGATAACTCTTCATTGCAATGAGTAATAAGAAATAGCTCTATTTGCAGAAATCTTTATTTTACCTACAAAGCCAATCCAGAATCAAACCCTTTCAATTTGATCTCTTTAATATGAACACTAATAGCAAGCTCTACCATAACATTAGTTATTGCACTCACAATAAACTTAGCCAAGAACTATTTTTGTCTAAATTTTACCGTTCACTTTTACCATACAGAACATTACAGCACAGAAACTAATTAAGCTAATAATGAAATATATTAATACTCAAAGTAAGGACCAAGGTCTAGCCACATCAACTCGTGTACTGAAGGGTTTTAAGGGGGCCGGGGGTCTCCATCAAAATTCTCTCAAATTTCGAGAAAACCCCCCCCCCCCCCCCCCCCCGGCCCCCTTAAGACAAAAGCCTCTCCAATAGAACAGCTGACACATCAGCGCTGAATGAACTCAGTCTCATGATAATTGATAATGCCACCATTAATGCCACCATTAGTCCTCTGTATTAGTGCTCTGTATTAGTGCTCTATTCAGTGTTCAGTGTGAGTATTGCAAAGTAAATTCTCTGTCAGAGCTCAGTGCGGTTTGTGTTTGTTAAGCTACTGTTCTGCAGTTTTTTAGGTTTTGGTGGTTTCTAATGAGGTTTATTTGTTAGTTCTTATAACAATGGGTATTGCGCCTTCATAAGACTATAAGATTCTCAATAGCAATATGTGAACAATTCTTGTGTGCAAAACTCAAAATTCAATTGTAATCATTACACCCGAACAACATCTAAGGTAGCTACTGAAAACGATGCCTGGAACTGACGACCTCAATTCCCATGTACTGATGTTCTCCGAACTCTCAACTTCACCCGAAGAAGGCTGGGACATAACACTAGGAACTCTGATTCTGCTTGCTGGACTTCTAGGAATTGTAGGGAATAGTCTTTCACTCAGATACTTCTGACAAACCAGAAGGAATGACTTGGTTACACAATTGTATCTTATAATCGGTGCTATTGATCTTTGCACATGTTTGTTCCAATTTCCTGTTCCAGCATCCTTGTTTAAGCGGAGACTCCCTGTTTTATTCAACAACATCTTCTTCTGCACATCTTGGACCATTCTTTTTGACTTCCTCAACAAAATGTCCATGTTTTTGGTCCTTCTTTTAAGTTTAAGTCGGGCTATTGCCATCGCTAGACCATTTTATAGAATTAGAAAGAAGCTCATTTTCGGAGGCTTCTTTATGTACTGCCTACTTTTGATCGCACACAGTATTTGTATGTTACTTTTAAAATTTAATGCTATTTACGGGGCTGATGCTACTTACTGTTACCTTTATTTTGAGACAGGCGAAGATACGATAACTGAGACTGAAAATACATTTATAACCACGGAGTATGCACTTATTTCAATAGAGTATGGTGTTCCTCCCCTCATAACTTTCTTCAGTTTCCTGGTCTGTCTGGTCAAATTGTTAAAAGGATCGAGAGTTGGGGCAACAAATGACAAACGGAGAACTGCTGCTGTCACAGTGACAATTTTCACAGCCGTTTTCTTGCTCTGCAACTGCCCACTTTTTTTGCTGGTCACTCTTTATACAACTTTTTCAATTGTTTACAGTGATGAATTCTCTATAGATGTCGGACTTTTCAGCAATTATTTTATGCTGTGGTATTCCTGGACGATATGTCGAATTCTGCTCACAGTTTTGAATGCTACCCTCAATCCTATTATTTACTTCTTTCGAATGGTAAACTTCAAGAAATGGATAAGGAATGGATGTAAACTAGAGGAAACACAAATTACTGTGAGGTCTACTTGAAGAATGATAATCAAAGTGGGGATTATAAATATAATAATAATAAGGTAAACAACAATCATTCCCATCTTACCTGCACGCTCAATACTGGCAATATCAAGGTCATTTGCTGAGAAGAACGTATACACTGTCACATCCATATTTACAGCCTTAATGAGATGGTATACAGTCTGATCTAGGGAGGATGTGGAAGGAGCTGTTGTAGAATTTAGGGTCTCTCTGAGTTTGGGTCTATACCAGATTTGTGTTTAAATCATATTATCTTGGACAATATCCTCAGCTCCATGGTTTACATGTCAAGTCTTCGTAAGACCACTCGCATAACTAGATATATGGTAATGATTAGTAATATATAGAGTATTAGAATTAGAATAGCTGTGATCCAGCAATTTTGAGTTGGCGCAGGTTAAAATTTCAATACTTTATTACAATAGCTGTAAATCACTGCTCAGATTTATGAATATGATCAATTAATGATTATTTCTTGTAAGTTTTTAATAAGTTGAATAAATTGAATTAGTAGTTGAATAATATCAAGGATATTGAGATACAATTTATTTGAATTAGCTTTTTCATAATATCTGCTTTTCAGTTAGGAAACGACCAGGCCACAATGTAATTTTCCGAAGCTGAACTGAACTTATGGAACAACCTAATGTTACTTTCCTCAACAGACCCAAGCCTTGGGCGTTTCCTAATTCCAGCACAATAATTCATATCTTATTTAACTTGGTAAAAATACAATAAACATGTCCAGTGAAACCCTGAAAAATCATACTATGGAAGGGATAGAAAGTAAAATTATGCAATTCTGAAACGGATTTCAAGATTCATAATTAAGGGTTGCGTGTGGGCAGTTACTTCTGGGCCACCCGGTAAAGTATCCTGGATGATGAAGAATCTGTATTAAATTTTGAAATTTTGAAGAAACCAAGTAACAGTGAATTTATGTAAAGACTGGTTTTTCTGGGCATGGTTTTTCAGGGAACGCTGTAATTGAAACTTTTAAGAATAACTTGATTGCATGCACACTACCAGGACGCAGGTGAATACAACTTTGAGTTGTACAATATTTCAAATATTACTACACACTGAAGCTTTTAAATGTCATCTGAATAATATTATGAAATTATTTAATGATAATAAATCCTAGATAAACTACTGAATTTTAAAGTTCACCAGAAATTCAGAGGATTAGTCTCCAATAAAATCAAAGTTAATTATCCAAATTAAAATAATATTATTTAAAAAAAATGTATATCAAGATAACCAATTACATAGATCTTTAGATACTGATACTTTATCATGATGCATAACTTCATATAACAGGATAACAACATACTAAATCCAATTAAAGTGAAGCAGTAAATTTAGAACCTATAGAATTTATTACACTAACAATCATATTGATATCAATGCCCTCACTAAGGACAAAGTCTCCAGAAGCCTTCTCAAGACTTATGGAGAATGCTAGAACTGGAAGGTCTTTTACAACATTGCTGATTGCATTGACGCATCTGAAAACAATTGTTGTAAGCGTTTCAAATGTAGATTGTCATTTCATAATTGGATTAAGGTTAGTTAATGGATAAGTAGGGTGTTATATTACAGGGTGGGCCAAAAGTAACGTTACATAAGTTGGGCCTTATATCACCAACGTGTTTCATATTTGAGACCTGTAACTTTGCAGATGGTATGCTGTAGCTACTCGTTCGAGGATTTGGTCGCCAAAATTCGAAAATTCGAATATTTCAGACCACACCCATATAATATTATATCACCTATTTTATTGTTCTTTCCGAACATGATAGATGCCCAATTTTTTTTCAGATTTCTGTAAATAATTAATTGCTTCATCTGATCTGAAACAATGAGGCAAAACGGATATGCAATGACGAAGTTATCAACCATTTTGCTTATCTCGTTAACAAAATTGGTTGGGTGATTATGTGACACGTCACCTTAACTGGGCTGCCTTCACAATTTAACAGGTTACCTAATCAGTCAATCACCTGATCACACCTTGTAATGAACAAACTCGTTATGCTTCGTATCTCAGTCATCTGAGAAGCTACAACTCTAATTTTTCTTTTTTTTTGGGACAAACATAATCCAAACACAATTCTATAAAATTTGGCTAGATCCGATTATCAGAACTATCAAATAAATGCGATAATTAACCTTCAATCGAAAAAATTGATGATGTGTGATGATGTTTGTGTCATTATATTTTGATTTGATTTATGATATTTGATTTAACATATTCTTTGAATGAGTGGTGATAGTATGTCATACGGAAAAGAATTATCTCAATCAGGCAACCAGTGACTGAGCTATAAAAGTCAACGTATGTAACATTACTTTTGGCCTACCCTGTAATATTTTAATATGTAATACTATGTTTAGTATATTATATTATATGTCTATCAACCAAATATAGACTAACCTGAAGCATGTCATTCCAGTTATTTTGACATTGTAATTAGATCCATGTTCACTTGAAACCAGGTTACCTGAAATAATTTAAAGAATTTGAATCACTGATGTTGCTCAATTATTTATCAACCTCACAACATGTACGCTCTAGTAAATAGTGGAAGTTAGACATCATGAATTGTAATGAAAGTGTTCCAAAGGGCCGACCTGTCAAAAAACAGGATCAATTTTGCCTACAATTTTGTATCTCAAACAGATCTGTAATCACAGAGCTGTTTGAATTTTGAATTTATTTGTGAATATAACATTATGTATTGATTGTTTTGTGGTAAATAAAAATTTCTTTCTTAATTAGCTTTACCTTTATCTGATGTGAATCCAGATTGAGAACAGACTTTAATCACCTTATCTCCTTTACTTGTGAACAAAACATCAGATTCTGACTGAGCCAATTTCTCAATATCAGTTAAGCTTGACTCATCATTGCAGTAATATGTAAACACTCCAACCATTATAGAGCTATTAATGATAATAATTGTTTAGCTAGTACACAAGATATATGTTAGGAGCAAGTTATGTGATAAATTAAACTGCCAGCATGCTTACACTAGAATTTATACTGAGGATCATATGTATAATTGGAAGAAGGAAGATGTTGTCCTATTTTGTAGCATACTAAAGGATCCTGTACCTTTCAGAGTGTCCTTCAGTACAACCATAAAAGGACCCGAGACTGGACCACATTATTTCTAACCTAAAATAAGTATGTATATGCAATAAGTTACTCATGATTTGGCAAATACTCAGATTGTATCACATTCTGTGGCCTCTCAAACCGTACCTTATTATAGAAAAGTGCAAAGTATCACAGTAACTAAGGCGTTAAACATAATTACGTTATACAAGCAGTAATGATCACGAGCTAACAACATCAAGAATGATGGGGGGAATGTTAAATATTGGGCAAATGAGCTGAACAAAAAGCTCAAGACTATAAGTGAATTGTGCCCTTACGCTAAAATAATTGTTTCACCTATACTGCCAACTAGGTCCTCCTTGCTGAACGAAAGGGCTATGGAGTTTAACAAGTTTTTATTTGGATACTGTGATACCAATCCTAGAATAGGTACATTAGATTTTAATAGCTTTGTTGACGAAGATGGTCTGCTGAATCAGCAGTTTTGTAGATATAAGAAGCCGGATGACCCAATTCACCTTGGATCAAACGGTATATTCAAACTCTCCCGGGCTATTGCTCATAAGATATTTGGTAGCCCTGTTGACGGGAGATCATTCAGTGATGTTGTTAATGCCAAAGCTAAAGGCAGATTTTCCCCACGACCACGTAGATCTATATTTCAGTCATGATAGTTAAATTGATATGCGAAATTTGCTGCTGCTGCAATAAACCTGTACGAGCTGGACACCCTTTCATAATTTGTCAGATGTGTGACAAAATAATGCACAAAAAATGCAAAACTAATGACAACATAGTCAAATTTCGAGATGAAATATACTGCAAAGTCTGTATTGAAGCCAACGATATTATTCGATACAACCCTTTCTACCAAGCTCCCCACTTTGCTAACAACGGCCTTATTGATGATGAGCCAGTTAATTATATTGAATCTATCTACAACAGCTCAAAAATTCTTGAAAACTGCAAAACATTCTCCATAACAGAGTTGAATGCCACCACCCTGCCTGGAAATTCAGTCGAATATATGTCCACTTTATTTTTCAACATTGATGGGAATGCAACAAACTTTGACAACTTTGCAGTTGAGCAGTCTAGTATAAACCACAAGTTTTCTGTTATTGGTCTTGCAGAAACAAACACTGATGCTGACAATGGAACACTATATCAGCTTAGTGGATACTCCTCGTGTTATCAATCCCGTTATTTCTGTCAAGACAAAAACCAGTTCAAGGCTAAAGGATCAGGAGTTTGTCTTTACCTGAACAACTCTCTAAACTTTAATAAGATTACTGGGTTATCTCTCTGTAATGAGCACATAGAATCACTGTTTGTATCTATCACCAGTATGAAAGACCCAACCGTTGTAGGGGTTATCTACCGTCCCCCAAACGCATCACTTGAACTGTTTAACGAAGCATATGAACGTATTCTCTCTAAACTGAATGGCAAGAAGGTATATATCCTTGGGGATTTCAATGTTAACATTTTAAACCACCCATCTTCATCAGAGGACAAATTCCAAGAAATAATATTTAACAATGGTTTTATACCAACTATATCAGTGCCAACTCACCATATGCCTGGTTGTTCCAGGACTTGTATTGACAATATCCACACCAATGTATTAGACCAATCCCTTATCTCTGGTGTCATATCTGACAAGATCTCCCATCACCACCCTATATTCACTTTTGTTAAGCTTTCCCCCGACTCTGTGTCACTATCTGATTCACCAGACAAAATTACTATACACTACGACTATAGTAATGCTAACCTAGAGAAGCTATGTCTTGAAATAGAAAACGATTTAGATAGGTTCCACTACAGTTGCGACACATTTGACTCTTTTATGCAGCTATTTCAAGAAAAAATAGACTTGTCTTGCAAACTTCTAACTCCAAGAACTACTAAACGTAATAGCATAACCAACCCTTGGATTACCCAGGGCCTAATCAATTCCATCGAGAAGAAAGCTAGATTGTATTTCGAATGGAAGAAGACTTGTACATTAAAATTACCTGACGGGGATCCGAATAAGCACATTTGCTACAAGGAATTCGACAAGTTTCTCAAAAGCTCAATAAATATGGCAAAGGCTATGTGCTACACTAGAAAATTCGAAAAGTACAGCATGAACTCGAAAAAGACATGGGAAGTTATTAATGAACTCCGTGGTAAAACTATGTCTCGATGTAAGGACGATTTTGTCATAAACGGTCAGAGAGTTACCTGCAGACGAATAATTGCTAACAAATTTTGTGAATATTTTACATCTCTTGCAAGTAATCTCAATAAAAATGTACTGACGAACAATAGTATTTCTCTGGAACCAATAGAATCATTTGCTCAGTTCATGTCAAACTCAGTATCTGACTCCATTTATCTGGAAGAGACTAATGAAGACGAAATAATCGAGGTCATCAAAGATTTTCAGAATGGCAAGGCGAGTGACATACCAATAATTGTTGTAAAGAAATCATCAAAGCTCATATCTGGTACCTTGGCCAGGCTTTACAACAAATGTATACAAAGTGGTACATTCCCGAGTATTTTTAAAACTGGTAAAGTTATTCCTATTTACAAGAAAGACAATAAGGAATGTATTGAAAACTATCGGCCTGTATCAATATTACCTTTATTTGGAAAAATTTTCGAGAAGATCATTTACAAACGGCTCTATAATTTCTTCACATCTAAAGGTGTATTGACAGACTCACAGTTTGGATTTAGAAAAGGTCATTCCACCACTCATGCTCTACACAAATCTATAGACTCCGTTACAAAGACTCTAGCTGGCAATAAACATGTCTTAGGAATATTCATTGACTTAAGCAAAGCCTTCGACACCCTTGACCACAACATTCTTCTAAGCAAGTTAAACTCCTAGGGTATTAGGGGCACAGCACTTACCCTACTTAAAAGCTATTTGACTAACAGAAAGCAGTATGTTATGTATAACGATGTACCATCAGAAACAATGGATGTGAAATTTGGGGTACCACAGGGGTCAATTCTAGGGCCATTACTCTTTCTACTGTATATGAACGATATAGTGAACTGTTTTTCAGACAGTGAGGTGAAATTTGTACTTTATGCTGATGACACTAATATCTTTATATCAGGACCATCTAGAGAAGCAACATACAAAAAAGCAAACTTAGTTCTTAAACATGTGTCGATTTACATGAAATGTAATCTACTCCATATCAATATGTCTAAATGTTGCTACATCCATTTTAAACCTGCCTCTGAATATGATGAGACCTGTGCAAGGACCAGACCATTTGCTAACCTGCTAGATGAGTCTAGGTCAATATTCATCGATGGTAAGGTTATTACTAAAGTCAAGGATACCAAATTCCTAGGTATTGTTATAGATAGTAAGTTAAACTGGGCTGCCCATATGCACTACATTCGTAAAAAACTTCGGTCCATGACTGGTGCAATCTGTAGAATTCGACACTTGATACCTGGTGAACTATATTTGAAAATATATAATGCTCTCTTTGAATCACATCTCAGTTATGGTATAAGTGTTTGGGGCGTTGTCCTTAAAGAACGATCAAATGACAGTATTTTTATCACACAGAAGCACTGTGTAAGGATCCTTTTTGGTGATCTCGACTCATATTTAGATAAACAATCAACATGTGCACGTACTAGACCGTATGGTATGCAAAAATTAGACCATAAACACTTTGAAAAGGAGCATACAAAACCCATTTTTAATAGACTAAAAATTCTAACGGCTCAAAACTTGTACAAATATCACTGCATTTTAGAATTCTCTAAGATTATCAAGTACCACTGCCCCTACTCCCTTTATGAGGCCATCAACATTTCAAACCGTGCAACAAGTCTAAATGTTATTCTTCTAAATAAATCAAATACCTTTTTGTTTAATGCAGCCAAGCTTTGGAACACAGTTCATAAAAAAATTTTAACTTCAAGCAATTGCCTAGAAACTTCCATTAACTTGATAAAATTGAGAACCAAAGCACTATTAGTACAATCACAGGCAGCCGACTTAAAAGATACCTGGACTCCAACCAATTTTAAATTGCAGTAATTAAATTGCACATGCAGCGGCACACACCTAATATTACTATCATGATTGAACTATCAGCTGATAAGCTTTCAGATCCATTTTTAACCACTTGATGTAATGTTTTTAATAATTAAATATTTTATTTTACAAATTTATATCAGATCGAACCTATATTTGATAATCGAACCTATATTCGATAGTTAAATTAATGCGATAAATTGATATTGATATTATTATTGTTGAGTGAAGTTAACTCCTGAGATAAATTTTATTAATTTTTAACAAAGGGACTTGGAGTATAAACGACCAAGTTCGCATAAATGCCTACCCAACCAAGAATTTAGGAGGCAAGGGTGGGTGCGTAAACTTTACGGTCTGCACTCTCCGATCCTGTATCACCCTGGATTCTTTTTGACGTATTTTTGTAATAGGTATATACCTTTATCCATTCTCTTGCTACTCCAAGTCCCCTAAGATATCTGGTAAAAAGGTCCTGCTAGTTATATATAAAATATATTTATTTTTGCTTTAATTGATACTAAATAAAATTGTTGTTTTCTTGAGCTCAACTTAACAAGATTGCCTGGCCTCCTGTACAAAAACTGTCTGAGCAGTAAGGGATCACACATGTCATAAATTCAATCTATTATACGACATGAAGAAATGTAAATAATAAAAATTCAAACAATCTACACATAATATAATAATGACCATATATAAAAATTCAGTAAAAATCTGAGTAATATTTATAAAACCCTTTTATTTGA